TATATACTTTTTTTAATTGAGGTGAAGTTCACATAAAACAAAGCCATTTTAAAGTATATATTTAAAATGTACCATTTTAAAGTATACAATTCAGTTGTATTTAGTGTATTCATAGTGTTGTGCAGCTACCAGCTCTCTGATTTCAAAACTTTTATCAGCCTATAAAAATATTCCAGACCCATTAAGTAATCATTCTGCATTCCTCCTCCCCCACCCCCTGGTAACCCTTGAGTCTGCTTTCTGTCTCTCTGAATTTGCCTATCTGTATATCATATAAAAGGAATTATACAATATGTGATGTTTTGTGACTGGCTTCTTTCACTTAGCATATTGCTTTCAAGGTTCATGGACGTTGTAGCATGTATCAGTACTTTGTTCCTTTTTAGGGCTGAATAATATTTCATTGTATGCGTATACCACAGTTTTATCTGTTCATCCATTGATGGGTTCTTAGGTTGTTAATGTAAACATTATTTCAGTTAACTCATGTATTTTAACCCAAAAAACAAGCAGGTATGTATGTTCAGACATTATTAACGGAACTCTATACATGATATGGGTGGTGCAGTCAGTTATGGCAGTCTACTTCCAATAAATCAGTCATTTGGTATACATGTATAGATATATGTAAATACGTGTGTGTATATATATCTCTGTGTGTGTGTATATATATATATAAACCCACATTTCACTTTTGTTTTTATAACTTGAAATGTTTCTTCCACGTATCTTTTTCCTTTGAAGGCTTCCTGCAGTGGAGATGAATATAGAACACTTAAGGTCGACTGTGCAAATGGTATAGGGGCCCTGAAGCTAAGAGAAATGGAACACTACTTCTCACAGGGGCTGTCAGTTCACGTATTTAATGATGGGACCAAAGGGAAACTCAATCATTTATGTGGGGCTGATTTTGTGAAAAGTCATCAGAAACCTCCTGAGGGTATGTAGTATTAGCAGTATACAATTTTGTTTTGAAAGCTGTTTGAAGTCCATTTCATTTACAGAGGGAGGCAGCCAAGTAAGTAAAGTCATGTAGCTAGTTTTGGCTCTGCCACTTTTAGACATCTGGGAATTTTCCCACTAGACAGTGCCATTCAAAATATGGTCTTCTTTCTCCAGCTATAACATCAGTATGTAGGGAATATGGATGAGAAAAGCAAAGTTAGAAAACAATAATCCAAAGCAGTGGTCCTCAGACTTCAGCATACATCAGGATCACCTTGAGGGCTTGTTAACACAGATTGCTGAGCCCCATTCCAGAGTTTCTCATTCTGTAGGTCTGGGGAGGGGCTTGATAAATTGGATTTTTAATAAGTGTCTAGGCTTTGTTTATTGTGCTGGTTTGGGGACCACACTTAGTGAACCACTGATCTAAATGATAGCAGTAGTTAAATTATCATTGTCTTTCACTTTTTATCTGAATTAGAGAGACTGTGGACAGTGAATGCAACTCTTACTTAGTTATGATTGTAAAGTCAGTGTTTTCCACAGTGGGCATATTAGGAGGAAAACTTTCATCAGATTTTAGTTCTAGATTGTAGTGTTCTACATTTATCTGCATTATAGATCCTAAATTGGCAGTCTGTTGGCCATATTGGCTTGGAAGTATGTGTTGTTTGCTGTGTGTGTGTGTGTGTGTGTGAGTGTTGCATTTGTTGCCACCATTTAAAAAACTCCATGATTTCACTTAAATATCAGACTCTGGTTTCTCTTTACCAAACACAGACATGGCCATCCTTAACGGTAGTAGAGTCCTGGTGGTACAGTGGTTAAGAGCCCAGCTGCTAACCAAAAGTTCGGCAATTTGAATCCACCAGTGGCTCCTTGGAAGCCCTGTGGGGGCAGTTCTGCTCTGTCCTGTAGGGTCACTGTGAGTCGGAATCCATGGGTTTTTTAATGGCAGTAGTCTGCTGCCGTTGAGTAGCTGCTGCCCACTTGAAGCAGGAACAGGACATGCATTCTCCAGAACTCTACCAACTTCATCCAGTTGCCTCATTCAGTTATGTTAATTTGGCTTCACTTGAGCATTTAAATTTTCAACTTTCGGTCAGACTGGTTTTAATCAACTGATTTGAGCTCCTTTTCATTGAATTGCTAGTTTTTATATTTACTTTACTGACAGCTCAGTTCTGTGTTGCTCATCTGTCCACTCACTAAATATTTGAGCTCTTACCCCTACTGCCCTAGGCAGTGGGGATACAATATGAACAAAACCCGTAGGTTCTCTGCTTTCTTGGAAGTTTGCTCTCTGTGTCCTGTAGTCAACCTTATACTCATATCCCAGGAAAAAGAAACCCACTTCTTAGTTGCCTCATGCTGGATTTGTCACCGTGCGGCTATTACAGCTAAGAAACAGCCAAATTTTCAAAAAAAATTTGATGTGAAAATCACTTGAAACTTTAATAACTTTATGCAAATTACAGACTCACAGGTTATAATTTTTTGTTCTAGAAAATTATCAGTGTTGTTATTTATGCTATGAACAAATAAATTATTTCTATCAGAAGTAAAGCATACACCTCACCTATTGCTAATTAAAATATATGCAAGTATATATGTATTGGAGCCCCAGTGGTGCAGTGGTTAAAGTGTTCGGCAGCTAACCAAAAGGTCGGCAGTTCAAATCCACCACGCGCTCCTTGGAAACGCTATGGGGTGGTTTTACTCTGTCCTGTAGGTCGCTGTGAGTCGGAATCGACTCGACAGTAACGGGTTTGGTTTTTTTTATGTGTATGTGAAGGACATCACACTACTAGGTAAATTGGCATTAAGATAATACCTGTAGCTTTCAAAACGGTACAGGAAACCTGTCTTAACCAACTAGGTTGTAAAATAGAATTTTTATCTTAGTATTATGGCAGGTTCGGGCATACATAGATTTTGAATGTTCCTATTTCAGTTTGCTGTAAAAGAATTTGGACTGTAAAACGCCCAATATACCTGTACAGAATTTAAAGATTAAGACATTGGTTTTTATGCGGAAGGATAATTGTAAATACCTCATGGAAAAATCATAGTGGGCATGCTATCTGCAACACATAAGGGCAGTTATAATCCTACTTTATTGAAAAATTTTCCCTAGTAACTAGTGTGAGAGAAAAACTTAAAACTTATGATACTGACTGAAATGAGATTTTAAATTATTCTGTGTTCTAGGAATGGAAATGAAGTCCAATGAAAGATGCTGTTCCTTTGATGGAGATGCAGACAGAATTGTGTATTACTACCGAGATGCTGATGGTCACTTTCATCTCATAGATGGAGACAAAATAGCAACGTTAATTAGCAGTTTTCTTAAAGAGCTTCTGTTGGAGGTATGATGGGGTGATTGGTTACCTTTGAAACCAAGATTTACTAGTGAAATAGTTGCATATCAGATAGTCATTTGAACGTCTAACAGGCACAATTTATGGAAAGTTTCTTATGTTTATGGCTAGGAAATGAAAAAAAAAGTGGTTAATTTCAGTCATTTCAACATTGGGCATTGGTTTTGGAGCCTGAAGATACTCATCTTTCTTACACTGGCAAAGTTTTATGATTTGAAACTTTATGAAGTGTAGTTTTTTCATAACTGACACTTCAATGAGAGTTCTACCATCACTCCCAAAGCCTCAAATCTAAACAGAAAACCTCATCATCTTAAAGATTATTATTCTTATGATAAGCTTTGTAATGTGAGATGTTTTGTTCTTTTGGAAATAGCTTTTAGGCTGGCTTTGGTGTTGTAGTTAGGTGCTGTCAAGTTGATTCTGACTCATAGCAACCCGATGTACAACAGAACGAAACACTGACTGGTCCTGCGCCATGCTCACAATCATTATGCTTGAGCCCATTGTTGGAGCCACTGTATCAGTCTGTCTTGTTGAGGGTCTTCCTTTTTTTGCTGACCCTCTACTTTACCAAGCATGATGTCCTTCTCCAGGGACTGGTCCCTCCTGAAACATGTCCAAAGTATGTAAGACATGGTCTCGCCATCCTTGCTTCTAAGGAGCATTTTGGTTTTACTTCTTTGAAGACAGATGTGTTTGTTCTTTTGGCAGTCCATGGTATCAGGCTGGCTTTAGTATAATAAAGAAACCAAACGCATTGCTGTTGAATTGATTCTGACTCATAGTGACCCTGTAGGACAGAGTTGAGTCGATTCTGTCTCACAGCGACCCTATAGAACAGAGTAGAACTGCCCCATAGGTTTTCTAAGGAGCAGCTGGTGGATTTGAACTGCTGACCTTTTGGTTAGCAGCCGAGCACTTAACTGCTACACCACCAGGGCTCCCTAATATGTAATAGGAAATAATTATTGTAATTTAGTAAAAATATATTTTACTTCAAGAATTCAATAGTTTTTTGAGTTGAAGATCAAGAGATGATTGTTCATATCACAGGCTTCTTTATAAATGATTTCTCACAGGATTACTTTAGTGCTTAAAAACATTTCAGCCCTTTTTTCTGGTTTACATGTAAATTTTCAGTAAATTATTTATTGCATAAACCAAGGCATGGCTGAACTGGCTCATGATTTTATGTCATCCTCTAGAGCTCTCATTATATTTTTGCTTTTGTAGATTCTTTCACTTCTGATGGCAGGTATCATTTTTTTTTTTGTCTAGATTGGAGAAAATTTGAATATTGGTGTTGTACAAACTGCATATGCAAATGGAAGTTCAACACGGTATCTTGAAGAAGTTATGAAGGTATTGAACCGTTTTTATTTTCTGGAAGTTTCTTAATTCCATTTTAATATATTTCTTTTAGGAAATGTAATGTCCTCATGGAAGTGAATAGGCTGTCATGCATGGAGCTGAGCCACTGTCCATGTAAGGTTAAATACAATTCAAAAATCAGAAAATTTAATTCTCCTTGATACTAAAAGGGAAAGGAACTTTCTACCCTTCCTTTTCTAAAAGCATTTCCTTTAGAAAACTTGTAATTTAAAATTCTTTCTCTGCCTCTTTGAAAAAGTAGGTAAATCTTTTAAGCCTCTGGCCAGTTTCATAATCCAGGAATGTTTTTTTCTCAAGGGCCTGGAGCCACCTCTTTGAAATATGAACATCAAAGAAGATAGCATCCCTGTCTCCTAGTTTTGAGAGTTTAACTTTGGCATCTGGCTCTAAGGTGTAACTACCTACCTACCTGATAGAGATATGAGAAGTTTTAGTGTTCCTTTAGATAAGGGAAGTTAGCTAACACAGATGGCCACTCCATTTACCAGGTAAGTTTAGGATAAACTGTGACAAGTGGTGCTGCCAAGTCCTCTTACTTTGAGGACTAGTTACCGTTTATCTTGAGAACATGTATGTAATGGGTCATATCTGCCTGGTTATGTAAAAGATTTCTGTCTTTGCACTTTTTAGCAGATTGTGTGTGATGCATCTCACAGTCTGGTTTCATGCTTGGTAATAAAACTGTTTTGTTTCTCTTCTGCGGAGAGGTTTTCTGGGTTGGCAGGAGATTTTGTTTCTGATTATTTCTCCCACATCCACTAGATGACTATCCTCTGTACTATATATACTACGTGCTCTAAGAGTTAGGAGTTTATGGCCAAAATTGGAAGTCTGTACTTTTTATACTTGTTCCTCACAGAAGCTGGGTTAAAATACAGATAAATATATAGGGAAGAGAAAACAAATTGTAGCCCTGGTGGTGCAGTAAGCGTTTGTCTGCTAACCGAAAGGTCAGCAGTTCGAATCCACAAGCTGCTCCCTGGAAACTTTATGGGGCAGTTCTGCTTTGTCCTGTAGGGTTGCTATGAGTTGGAATCGACTTGACAGCCGTGGGTTTTTGCCTTGACCTGCTTTTTATACTTGTTCCTCACAGAATTTAGGTAAAAATACAAATAAATATATAGGGAAGAGAAACATTAGAGAAGGAATATAAAACTTATTACAGAATATCAGAGGCCTGCTTAGAATGTTACTAACAAGGGTAGCACTGTACACCAGCACAAATCACAAGAGTTACTGTTTCCTTGGGGAATAAGCAGTTTTGCCCTTTCTGAACACGGTGTAATGTTTTCCTAACTTTTGTGCATCCCTTTTAAACTTCTTGCATTTTATCTAGCTTTTGTTCAGGTAGGGGTTACAGAGTCAGATTCCTGCACGATCTGGATAGGTGAAGTGAAGGAGTAAAGTATGTGGATATAGACTGTGAAGAGTATACCCAGGTCAGATGGCCAGCTTCTGTCAGCCTCAGTCTTTATTACTAGATTCTTCAAGAGAAGGTGGAAATCTGAATTTTCATGTGAATTTTCTACTTTTAAAATTTTGGCAATGGATTCAAAATTAAAAAAATAGTAAAATAAAAATTATCTAGAGGCTGCTAGTTTGTGACCATATGGTTACAGTAAACTCAAAGGACTCCATCTGGGCCCAGCTGCCTGCCTTCTACAGGGATTCTCAGTACCCGTGGTATTGTTTTAATATTTTATTTTCTGTGTTAGAAAATTTTACAGGTAGGATAACAACCTTGTTTAAGAAACTGAATACATCAGAAGCTATTACTTCTCAATCCACCATCTTCTAGATGAAATATTTTTATCCCTTGCCGTTCCTGAGGTGGAAACCCTGGTGGCGTAGTGGTTCAGAGTCACGGCTGCTAACCGAAAGGTTGGCAGTTCGAATCCACCAGGTGCTCCTTGGAAACTCTATGGAGCAGCTCTCCTCTGTTCTATAGGGTCGCTATGAGTCGGAATTGATTCCTGAGGTCCCCTAAATCCCATCAAATGTTCATCTTCTTTGATCCCTTTTGCAGTTCTGCCACTGATCAGTCTGTAACTATTCTTACATATCATATCCACCCATGACTTTCCTTACCCACTGTTGCTAGTCCAGCCGCTAAATTTCTTACTAGGATTACATCCCCTCCTCACTTATCAACATGGTTAGGGTTCCAAAGACCAGGTTGTTATATGAAAATTGACATTATGTGAAAATGGAGGATGATCACATCAGATCACAAAATATTTGGGACACATATGTCGCTCTGGACCTGAGAGACAGAAGATGTTATGTGGGTGCTCTGTGTCCCTCTGGTCATGAAAGGGTTACTGCCAGACATACATCGTTGATGTGCAGAATAGTCAGATTTTTTACTGTTATCATAAAAGTGAAACGTTGGACAACGAGATAGTTGATAAGTGAGGAGTAGTTGTAGTCCTAACCAGTAAACAGTTGCCATTGAGTCATCTCTGACTCATGGTGACCCATGTTTGTCAGAGTGGAACTGTGTACCGTACGGTTATCAGTGGTTGGTTTTTCAGAAGTAGCTAATCAGGCCTTTCTTCCAAGGTGCCTCTGGGTGGACTTGAACCTCCAACCTTTTGGTTAGCAGCCAGTGCATTAACTATTTCTCCTAGAAACCTAAAACTGTTCCCCTTAGGTCTCTTAGCTTTCCTCTAAGCCAGGGATGGGCAGACTAGGGCCCTGTAGGCCAAATCTAAGCTGTCATATATTTTTATAAATAACATTTTATTGGAATATAGTCAGGCTTATTCATTTATGCATTGTTGTCTGACTACTTTCATATTACAGTGGCAGAGTTTGGCAGTTGAAAAATAAACCTATGGCCTGCAAAGCCTAAGATGTTTACTGTCTGGCCCTTTACAGAAGAAGCTTGCCAACCCTGCACTAAGCCATTCTCCACATTATAACTAGATTCAGCTTTTTAAAACAGCAAGATCATGTCATTCTTCCACTTGTAATCCTTTATTGGCTTACAGGGCTCTTCCTGAAGAGATCTTCATTTCTTACCTTGCTTTTAAACCCATGACTTTGCTTCCTCAGAGTCCCTGGGTAGTGCCGATGGTTAACTTGCTTGCTGCTAACCAAAAGGTTGTGGTTCAAGTCCATCCAGAGGTGCCTCAGAAGAAAGGTGTGGAGATCTACTTCCAAACCAGCCAGCCATTGAAAATCCTGTGGGGCCCAGTTCTACTCTGACATACATGGCGGGTCCTCATGAGCTGGAATCGGCTGTATGGTTTTTTCATTTGGTGTGTTTCCTCAGTGTACCCACTCTCCCATTTAACACTTGCCACATTGTATTTTAATCGCTTACTTGTCTTCCTCACTAGACTAAGTTCCAGACGGTTCGGTTCTTTTTTGTACCCCTGGGATAGTAGTTACACAATAATATTTGTTGACTGAATAACTGTTATTGTGGTTCTTTAAATTTGTGTGTTTGTCATAGGTACCTGTCTATTGTACTAAAACTGGTGTGAAACATTTGCACCACAAGGCTCAAGAGTTTGACATTGGAATTTATTTTGAAGCAAATGGGCATGGCACAGTAAGTTCTCTTAAACAGAACTGTGGCTTTAGCTGGCACTTTTCTTTATGACAGGCATTCTACATCTGGGTAGTAATAGGTAATATTCTACTTTCATGAAGTGATTGAGATGGTGGTAGAATAAGATTATTTGGTTAATCTTTTATTCTCATGTTGTAAAATGGTGGTTCTCGTTTAGATTGTAGTGATCCCTCTCTGGATATTAAAAAAAATACTAATTTGTTCTTTTAATATTGTTTTTTAAAATAGCAGTTCTTAACTTTCTTTGTAATCAGACTGTCTATTAAAATATTTTTCTTCATCTGGCCATAGGTAGGAAAAGTAAGACTTCAGTAGTTGTGGTGAAATGAAAAATATTGGAAAGTTTACAAATTAAGTTATAAACCTAAAGTAACAAAGTTTTAAGTTATAAACTTCAAGAAACATGTTTAAAATATTTAGTGATAAATGTATAAACATATAAAGTTTATGGCTCTCAGCAGACAGAATTTTCTAAAAAAATTTTTCTTGAGATACAATTCACATACTATTCACTATTTTAAAGGATACAACTCTGGTTTTTAGTACATTCACATGGTTCAGACTTTTTAAAAAATATTTTCACACCTTGCCTCATCTTGTAGTGGATTTGAGTTGCCCAACAGAAAACTTGAATCTAGGCCAGACTGTTTTCCTAATTAGACATTGGCTTCTGGAGCCCATAAATATAAGAAGGGGAAAAATAATAAAGTTCCTAGAAATTGCAATTAAAATCTAACTTCAGTGATGCAACCCAGGGGCTGGTAAACATTTGCTTTCGACTTTGTGGGCCATAAAGTCTCTTTTGAGTTACTCTGCCGTTGCAGTGTAAGTGAATAGGTATGGCTGTGTTCTGATAAAACTTACTTACGTAAACAAGTGGCTGGCCTGCACCTTAGTTTACCAAACCTTGATTGAACATCTGTTTCATCAGTGGCTGAGCATAATATGCTACTTCCCCGTATTAGGCCTCCTGAGAGCAATAAAAACATGAATAAGGTATTCCAAAATGATGAAGGAATCTTGAGGAGCTTGATGTGTATTGTAATAAATATCCGTGACACCATTTGCCATAACTGATGAATACGATGAACTCTCTTCCTACTTTGCCTAGCTTATATCCTTAAAAATTTAAACTGTGCTAGTTGCAGTGAATTTTATCTTTCAAAGTAAAATGCATACAGACTGAGGCTTAAGTAACCAGGTTACACAGAACTGATTCAGGTGGCTGATGGAGGAACATAATGAACTCATTTTATTCTCCATTTGCCAAAGTGGTGTTTTCTTTGTAATCAACTGTTTAGACTTTGATAACCAGTTTTATAATACAAATAAACCTTTTTTGGGGGTTGGGTCTGTTAATATCTTCTGGGTTATGATTATACTGATTAATTTCATACTTGTAAGGCTGCCATTTTTCTCCCTCTGTTCCTTAGTATTGACTAAGAGTTTCACAGATGGTTTAGGTTGAATGATTATACTTGACTGGGGCTTGGAGAGTGTTCAGTGATTTATTTTGTATGCTTTCATTGCAGGTATTGTTTAGTAAAGTTGCTGAAATGAAGATAAAACAATTAGCAAAAGAACTAGAAGATAACAAAAGGAAAGTGGCTAAGATGCTTGAAAACATTATTGACTTGTTTAACCAGGTCAGAACCAATGGGGTGGTGGACTCGTCACCTTTACATTATTCAGAAGATGGACAGAATGGAGTGTACTGTGTAAAAAAGGGGATAAGTCCTGGCCTGGTGGCTTCCTTGCAACAGTGTTATATGCAGTTGAGTTTTACACTGAAATGGTGTAACAAAATATTTTTTCTATGCTTCACTCCCTGCTTTTTATGATGAAAATTTTTCAAGTACAGTGAATCCACCTAGATTCAGCAACTAGTGGGTATAGATGTGTTAATAGATAGATACTTGTTAGACCAGCTTTCTAGAGGAAATTATAATTGGTTATCCCTTTGACAAAGGACATGTATGTGGGTTAGATACAGTTGGGATTGAAGTGCAGAGTATGGGCTATGGACGAGCAAAGCTGAATAGGACAGGGAAAAGTGATGGAACTGATAATTTGAGGATCATCTGCATATTGGGTACTCTACATATCTTGTTATTTCTTGTAGTAACACAGTGAAATAGGTTATTATAACCCCCATTTTATAAATGAAGAAACAAAGGTTTAGAGCTAATAAGTGGTGCAAGAATATGGATCCAGCTTCAGGTGTACACCAAAGCTCATATTTCTGCACTTTACCATGATGCCTTCCAGTATCAGGATATAATATCTATAGTATCTAAAGGGATCTAGTGATAAAGAAAAATTTGAGTCATAGAATGTTAGTGCTAGCATCTTAAGAGGTAACTAGTCTAATCATATTTTATAGATAAGAACATTAAAGGCAAGTTTCTCAAGAGCTGGGTTCGGTATTCTTTGTGTACCTTTTACTGTTGTCTTCCATCGATAACTTTCATTATTGTTTGTATTTATCCCCACAAAAAAGTCACTAGTTATTAATGCTGTACAGAGTTGGGTAGGATCACAGGATACTATGATTGGTTTGCCAAGACAGACCATTCATATCCAAGATTTGCTTGTGTTAGAGTATTTTCTTCTATTTTTTCCCATCTTGCAGGCAGCTGGTGATGCTATTTCTGACATGCTGGTGACTGAAGCAATTTTGGCTCTGAAGGGCTTGACTATCCAACAGTGGGATGCTCTCTATACGGATCTTCCAAACAGACAACTCAAAGTTAAGGTATGAGGGAAATTTTAAAATAATTTATAATCCCAAATCATAGTATATAAAAAATCTTTCCCAAGTGTGTCATTTCATTCTATACATACACATACGTCACATAGAAAATAACACATTGCAGTCCTGTGGAACACAGTTCTGCTGACACACATGGGGTTGCCAGGAGTCAGGAGTCACTTTGACGGCAACTGGTTAACTGTGTTTTCTCACATTTAAAAATATTACAGAAGAGGTATACGTTAATTTACTATAGTTTGACAAGTACTTGGTTTCCAATTTTATTATATTATGAGCTACTCTATTCATCACCTTTATGGTTTTATTATGGAAATTTTAAAAGAAAGAACAGAATAGTGAACCCCCATGTACCCAGCTTCAACAGGTTTCAGCTATCTCCCTGCTCATTCTTTACACTCCCAAGATTATTTTGAAGTAAATTCCTGATAGTCTCTCATTTCAAGTGCAAATATTTCTTCTGCATTACTCTAGCTTTACAGAGGACTTTCTGAGGCTAGATGCTGAGAAGTGGAATCTGTGGGCACGATGTAAGAGAAATTTTTTTTAAGGCATTTGAGATAAGTTGCTAATGGAGTTCTATTCAGGTTTATACTAGTTTACACTTTCACCAGTAGAACTGGTGAAAATTAGAGATACTAAAGCCAGAATTCTCAGAAATAGCTACTGATTCTTCAGATGAGTTTTTGGCATATTTATCAGGAATCATGACCCTCTTATATAATAGGCATTTTTTTTTAAAAAAGGATAAGTGGCAACCTAAGGTTATTTTGAAAGGAGCTCTGGTGGTACAGTGGTAAAGTGCTCAGCAGTGATTTGAACCCACAGGAGAAAGATGTGGCACTCTGTTTCCGTAAAGATTACAGCTTTGGAAACCCTACTGGGCAAGTTCTACTCTGTCCTACAGGGTCACAGTGAGTTGGAATCAAGTCGACGGCAATCGGTTTTAAGGCTGTTTGATCACTGGCTTTACTGGGGTCCAAGGTATGACAATAGGACTTGAAATTTTATTGGCCATTACTTTAGTAATAAGATGGGGAGAAATGATTTTACAGCTGAGAGACGGTCTGTGGAAATGTTCTTTTTGCTAAAGGTAATTTTTTATAGACCAAAGAAATGGAAGTTATTCAAATGTTGAAATTAATAAAACTTTAGCAAAGGATGAAATTCTATTAAAACTTTTAAATCTGGTACTTTACTATCTCATTGTTGTACTCTGTGGTACAACAAGCTGAGAGGTCTGTTGTGTTAAAATGAAAGGTCCCTATTCTTTTAGTGGAAATGTAATTATGCTGAACAGGTGAAATTTCTTAAAGGAAGTTAAATTTGGTAATAAATACAAAATACTTGTGCCTAGGTTGCAGACAGGCAAGTTATTAATACCACCGATGCTGAAAGACAAGCAGTTACACCCCCAGGACTACAGGAGGCAATCAATGGCTTGGTGAAGAAGTACAGGCTCTCCCGAGCTTTTGTGCGACCCTCTGGAACAGAAGATGTAGTCCGAGTATATGCAGAAGCAGACTCCCAAGTAAGCTGGGATAGTTCTGTTGAAAAAAAATGTGCAATGAGAGTCTAATAACATAGGTCGGGGGTGGGGAGGAGGAGACAGCACTATAGGAAAGAAAACTATTTTATGTTTGGAATCTAAGAGTTTAATTCTATTTCAGATTTGTTTATGGGCCCTTTTAGGTTCATATTAAGACTGTATAGTTGAACAGAATTAGACTCACTTAGCTTGTTTCCTCCACGATTTTTTTGATTTATCCTAGATTTCCTGAAAGTGTGTCATATATCTAACTTTGGACGAATAATACTTAGATTGATAAATGTTAAAAGCTTATGCAATGTGAAGGATAATATCCTTTTCTTCCTCCTTTAAAAATATAATCCAGTGACTTTATGGAAACCAGTTTAGTGGTCTATTTCTAAATCAAGGAGTACCGTCATCCATGCTGCTTGAACTTCATTTTTGTCTCTGGACTCTTGATTTGTTTATAAAAGTATTTCCTTTATGTGACAGCCTTATTTTAGGCCTTTGCTCCATCTTATCTGTCACCTTAAATACTTGATAAAGGTGGTCACATAGCTGGGGCAAAGTAGAGTGTGTCGAATAGGGACTCAGAAAGAGCATACCTCCAATTAATTTATAAAACAGCAGGCAGCTTTTTTGGAAAAAGTTTAGGCCATCCTAGAATACTGTAAATCAGTAGTTCCTGACGATGAGAAGTATACTATGACTGAGGTCATAAGATTTTCTTATTCTTAGGTTAACTGTGGCCTTTGGAATGGTAACTAGTTTTATAATCATAATTAGCTAAAAGCTTACCTTACTTAAAAGAATTTGACCTGTATCTTTCATTTATTTAAAGGTCTGGGAATTTGTTACTGAAAGATGAAAAAAGGTTTTCATCTGAATATGTTAGTGCAACAAAATTAGAAAACATCCTCTCCTTGCCCAAATTTGCAAGTAGCATACAGTAGATGTTGTGTCTTTCTCATCTAATTGCCTTTAATGTAATTTGCAGGAAAGTGCAGATAGCCTTGCACATGAAGTAAGCTTGGCAGTATTTCAGCTGGCTGGAGGAGTTGGAGAAAGACCCCAACCAGGTTTCTGAAGACAATTTTTACATTCCTGAGAAACTGGATTTTTTAAAAGATGTTTTTACAAAATAATGGTAGTGCTGTTAACTGTGACAGATATGATGAAGACTTTTAAAACCAGAATCTTTACAGTGCACTTTACTGAATTGTTTCTAGATCTGATTCTTGTTTCTAGATCTGATTCTTTTTCTGAAACACTACCAGAATAAGTCTTTCTTTAGAAATAGATAAGCCTTATAGTTTTTCTTGTTTTTAAAAAAAAAAAAAAAGAAACCTCTATTTTCAATCTCACTGATGTAAAATATTGGGATTTAAATATATGATCCAGTCATTAACTTTACAATCTTTACAATGTGTGTAGGGAAGATTTCATAAGAGTTGCTGGAAAATAAAAGCTTATTTAACTCCTTGTGACATCTTTTCCACCACCGTTACCTGACTAAAATGCTGTTTTGCAGTAGTCACCATCTTTGATACAGTTTTTCCATAGCAGTCTTTGGAATGAACACAGAAGACTTACCTATTTGATTACCATCACCAGGACTTCAGAGGCATAAATATGGAGGTTGTACATCTCTATACTGAGAGGTTGAGGTGATGATAGTGCAACACTTGTAAGGATGTACGGCCCAGGCTTCAGTTATTTTTTACTGCTCTTAGTGAATGTACGTGGAAGAATTTTTTACTGCTCTTAGTGAATGTACGTGGAAGAAAAACTAATTGTGATACATTCCAAAACCTCTGACAGAAGTATCGTTCTGATAATAGGACATTGTTAATTAATGATGGAAAAGAAAAAAATCCCCCATCTGTCTAAATTAAGCAAAGCCTGAAACCAGTAGAAAAAAATGTGCAGGGTGTATTTTGCAGGTTAAGACAACTCAGAACACTAAAACAATGGACTATGTATATATAGATCTCTCTTAGGCACCATAAATCAGTATGAGCCAACAATATTTAAACTTGATTCAGGCCACATTCAGACATTTGCTCTTATTTACAAATATTTAAATTAAATACAACCTGAAGTGTTTTGTTACATACAAAAAACAAAAACTATACAGCTCAGAGTGGTGTTTGTTTTAAATAATTTACATTTAAGCTAAATGGAGCCACTTGTGGTGCTCAAGTTTTTATCACCCCTTCCAGAAAATCCTTCTCTACCATTTCTTCTATTTTTTGCCTGGCTTTGCTGGAAAATGGTTTGTGGTTCTCCAGTTTCATGTCCTTGTTAGGGAAGGCGTTTGAGTAGAGGACAGGGCTCCCTGAGTGTCCTGCACATCGGCTTGTGACTTTGCTGTTGAAGACTTGGCTGAGTACATTGAAGAATGGCAGGAGCTGCTCAATACTGCGCACAGTACAGATGGTGAGCAGCAAGTGCCCCGGCTCCCAACCCAGCATTCTCCCTGAGTTGTCTTCCTCTGGATTTTTCTGTGGAAACAAAAACGGAATTGTTATAAACAGATGAGGCAGTACACTGGAAAACCTGAAAGGATATAAACATCAGTAATCACAGCTAAGAATGAATGTAAATGATGACGTAAGTCTCCATTTCAGACTTGATTAAAAGTCCTTGCTTCTAATTGAGGCCTTATTATTTTATATAGAGGTCTGACATATTTGTAATATTTTCCAATTAGGCTGCACAGGTAAGGTTAGCTAAAGTCATTTTGGATAGGCATAGAGAGAATCAAATATAGTTTGTGTTGTGCTTTCCATATACTCAAAAAGCTCCCGTATTTCTGGACTTCGACTAATGTAACCAAGGACTGGGTCACAAAATGACCACAGAAGCAGCTAGGAAGGGACAAAGGGCTTTACACATTTTACTGTTAGTAAAATTACTGGCCCTGCAGCACAAGGAAAGGATCTCTTAGGAGAGAAACTACTGCTTTGTTGTGCTGAAGAACACGGCGGGGGGAAACCGGACCTGGAGTCAAAATAATTGGGTTAGTGTCCTGGCACTGCCATTTACTTTGTGGTATCTTTGGGCAAGACATGTAAAGGTTCCTCACTTAGAAAATAGGAAAATCTAATCTCTGTCTTGCAGTGGAGAAGTCAAATGAGAATGCATGTGAAAACTGTCAACTAAATAATATAAACACATATTAAGAGGCTATTTTGTCAGCTAAATTATACAAACAGCTGCAGACTTCAATCTCTACAGAAAGATCATAAGAAAACTGGAGATGTTTGAACTTAGGCAGAATCATAGGTATGACAACACAGTAAAGATGATAACACAATGGACTGGGTATGAAAAGAATGATTAAATGAGACTTAAAAAGCAGAATTATAATCTGTCATATTTGTAAACAAGTAGAAGATTTTGCCTTCTAAGATCAGATGCTGTTGAGATGTTTTTCTAATATCACTAGTTTCCTAATGGAGAAAACAAATGCAAAATCCAGATACTGTGTGTGATTGAAAGTAATATCCTGAGAAAGGAAAACAGACTCCAGGAGACAGCAAGAAAAGATCACTTAGTTCTTTATCTGTGGCCAGAAAAATTAAAAAACCACCTATGTCACTTTATTTCTTAGCAGTTCTTTAACCTCCAGCCTAGACTATAGAATGCACAAAACCGTCTTCCTTTCTCTTTACTATAACATGGGCTTTGATGAGAGTCCTGTGGCTGGCTGTCACATCATCAACTACCATTACTCAAGTCCTGAGCACATGACCTCTAGTTCGCTAAATCAGACTGCATTTAAATGGTAATTAGCTGGTACACAGGAGTCCCTGGGTGGCACAAACGGTTAAGTGCTGGACTGCTAGCTGAAAGGTGGGCAGTTTGAACACACCCAGAGGTGCCTCAGAAGACAGGCCTGGTGATCTGCTTCCAAAAGGTATCAGCCATGAAAACCCTATGGATCAATTCTACTCTGCACATACGAGGTTGCTATGAGTCGGAACTGACCCAAAGGCAACTGACAACAACAAGCAGGTACATAAGAGATGAACTGATGCTGAATAATATGCCTGAACCATCTACACACAGCTAGTATCCAAACGTAAGAGAATTATGTTGTAACTTTAATATTCTTGTCAGTGTGCCTTTTAAAAGAGGAACTTTTATTAAGCTCTTAAGAAGAGTGCTTTAGCTGTCCTTAATAAGAACAAGGCTTCAAACTGGTTCTTCCCAGTTTAGTCATGGTCAAGGAAGTGAAATTGGAACAGACCTGAATTTTTAAAATTTGGGTGAACCGGAATGATAACCAGAATGGGAAAAGTTACAGGTCGAAGTCCTGCTAGAAACAACTTCCCTCTTAGAAAACAAGGCCAGCATACACGTACAGCGACCAGATCTCTTCCGTTGGATTTTTAGCAGACTTGGAAACGGTGTCCCGCTCAAAGACAGCTACCAACCATGCCACTAGGAATGTGTGTCGCTCTCCACAGTCCTGCCAATAATGCAGTCTCACATATCAGGCCTCTGAAAGGGCTCCCAACTGTAATTTTTCCCATTCCAGTTTCCATTTCGGATCACCCAAATTGTAAAAAATCGGGTCCATTCCTGGTTTCGCTTTGTCAGCCATGACTGAACAGGTTCAAATGGGTTCAAAGCCCTGATGAGAACTGTACCTCCCCCTCAACAAAACAAAAAATCAGGCATGTTTCCATGCAGACTATTTCTCTTTTGACTTCACTTGATCTACACTTGAAGAAAGACTTCCTGTTTACCACTTTTTTATTTATTGACATCCAGACCTGGGTTTGTGCCTCAGTATCTGGTCCAAATGTTGCAGCATTTGCTGCCATATCACAAGCATCAAAAAGCCACCCTCACCTGATGCTTGGCCATCTCCAATCCCTCCAAAATCACTGTCTTAAAGTCCTCCTCCTTGTCCTGTGGAAGGAAAGAGGAGAACTCATAGCCTTTATTCCAGTGAAAAGTATGCTTGGCCATGAAGACCTTGTTTAAAGTGATTTGGATGGGAAAGTGCTTTCTAGCTACAACAGTTTTCTTATGCTGTGGGATAAGGTCTGGGCAAAAGATGAGAAGTCTTATAAAAACTCTCATTACTAATGAGATGCAGGAGATAATAATTAAGTCCATGTACCTGCAGGCATGTAATCACACAGCCACGGATCTGTTTGTCATGATTACTTTTCCAGACACTCATATCGAAGTAAAAGTACCTAGAAGTTCTATCCTAGGTTTTCTGGACCCAACTTTCACCCTCATCTCTGTCCATTTATTCAGCACCTGAAGAAGCAACTGGCATTTTAAATCAAGTTCCTCACATCCTTCAAGTACAACCTCATGTTTAATTGCCTTCTTCTATTCCCATAGTTTGTGGAATGTAGTTTATGGCTGCTGAACATGGACTCCAAAAGACTGGAAAGCTTCTAAGCAATCAAAGCACATACTGCAAACTAAGACTCACAAAACAGCCTAAGTCATCCCAAAATTGTACCATTTTTTTTTAGTTATTAAAAATATTGAATGCAAGACAAAACATGACAAAAGATTTGTAAAAAAGGGCCCACTGATGGGCAAAAAACTATAATCAGCCTGATGTATACTAAGAGATTTAATGTACAAAAGACGATATAAAATATATTTTACAAATTATTATCCTCGTACTTTATTTGTGGAGCCCTGGTGGTGCAGTGGCTGCTGACCAAAAGGTTCGTGGTTTGAACCCACCAGCCGATCCTTGGGAGAAAGATGTGGCAGTCTGCTTCTGTAAAGATTACAGCCTTAGAAACCCCATGGGGCAGTTCTACTCTGTCCTATAGGGTCACTGTGAGTTGGAATCGACTAGATGGCAATGGGTTTTTTTGGTATACTTTATTTATGGTAAATGTTTCAAGTTCTCACTTTTCCCCTTGAGGAATTTCTCTAAGTAGATGCTTTATACTTTTGAGTCTTTCACTGCCTTTCTAGTAGAGATAGGTTAATTTAGAGCAATGTTTTTTTTTTAATTCATTTTTATTTTTTTTATTGTACTTCAAGTGAAGGCTTACAGAACAAATAGTTTCTTATGAAACAGTAGTAGACATATTGTTTTATGACATTGGTAAACAACCCCACATCATGTCAACCCTCTAACTTCTCAACCTTTTTTTTTTGGTGAAAATACACATAGCCAAAGATACACCATTTCAAAAATTTCTACATGCACAGTTCAGTGACACTGACTACGTAGAGCAATGTTTTTAAAACTGCAGGTTGTGGGTTCTTGAAATCTATTTAAAGAATAGGAACTATAGAAAAGAAAATACTGCATGTGCTAAGGGCAAGTATCATTTTGTGAGAAACTTTAGATTCAATTATATAGCTGCACTGGGTCAGAATCTGAAATGCATTTATTACTGTAGGTCAGAATCAAAAAAGTGAACATTGACTTAGAAAATGAATTTTTAGCATTTATGTTATCTCAAATTGATAAACAGAATGTCAATGATTATTCCCTTTATTCTGATTTTTGATAAAATATGACTGCCAATTTTTTGAAATGTAAAACATAAAATCTCCTCACCCATTAATTAGTTCTGTTGAAAAAAAAAAAAACAAACTAACAGATTTGTTCTAAAAATCCCTTTTAGCATTACATTTTCTCAATCAGCTATCTTCCGGTTTCTCTCCATTGGCATTTTAAAATGGATATTATGGGTTTATTAACTTCTCACTTGTTGATATGGAAAACTTTTGGGACTACCGTGTTACGTGGTTTCCAAGGTTTTTATTTTATTTTTTGAGGGGAAAATACTTTAAGGTAGATGTTATTAATATACAGAATAATTCCTTTTTCTTTTTAAAAGTTGAAAGGTATAAAAATAATTTTAAAGTAGAATTTAGTTTGGGAGTAGGAGTATTAAAATCCATCATATCAACTTTCAAATTGCCTATCCTGTGTCCAGTTTTATGCAGAGATGTTAAAATACATAAAATATTGCCATTATCTATTAAGAGAAGTGGCTATTGGGGGTTAAAATGAAACTTTCAAGCATTTTTATGAATGAAGGCAAATGTGGCCCTTACAAATTTCACGATGCTAAATACTAAACTATCTTATCAGCTGACTGAAAAGTTATCTTAGGTTAGGTGTACTCAGCTTCTTCCAAAAATGTTTTTCCTTTTTCAAAAGGAAGGAAATCAGTGCGCAGAATTTATAGGTCAGGTCGAAAGTGACTAGTGAGAAGGCTGTCACACAACAGGATATGTAAGAGTTGAGTTGCTTAATAAATACCTGATTAGCAAGGATGTGAACTGCTTCCCTATTAATAGGTATTAATCATAGATTAATATGATTAAGTAAATACTCCTTTAAAATATGACTTTTTTTTTAAATGTCTGGAAATGTTAGGCTCATGGACATTCTCAAAACTAGGGAATTTTTTTCAAAATAGCTCAACTTGATAATGTTCTTAGTTTCCCATGAAGTATTTAATAAGGGCCTCACCAATAATGTAGTTACATAAAATAAAACAAAAAGAATGTTAATACCTTTGCCCTTTTCCGAAGAAGTTTTGCTAGTCGTACCACATAAGGTTTAAATTCTCGTTGATGTATTCCCTGCCTTCTGACTTCCAAACCTGAATCATCTGAGGCTTCTGGAATAAAGGCCCATCGGTACCTATGTATAGAAGAATGCAATTAACATCAGTAAGACAGATTTGGTGCTATTTAGGATGAGGCCTCATAGTGTAGATCATGGCCCCACCACTAACCTGGATTCAAATTGCCAGTTCTGCCACGTGTAGCCCTGGCACCTTGGGCATGTGTGTCTAAACCTCTCTGAGCCTTTTCTTCATCAGTAAATAAGGATACTGTTAAATACCTCATAGTACTGTAATCAGTAAATGAGTATGTAAACTTTTGTAAGTGCTCACACCATATAACAGACATGTTCAGTAATATGGGAGCTATTTTTTTCATGAGCACAAAGTAACTACATGTTTCCTTCCCCATTAGTTAATAAGCAAAAAGTCTGTAAACGGAAATTACTCTTATTTAGCTTATTATCTATTTCTGCTGTAACAGTCTGACAAAGATTCTTCAACATTTACACAGTAAAGGGGTAAAAGCACTGAAAGAATTTAAGTCAGTGACATTAATTACATTCATCATTTTTGCTACCACCACCACTATCCATTTAGAAATTCTTATTTTTAAATTCTTATGAATCAAATATATGATGAAAGAATGAGATGCATAATCAAAATTCAAATACTTTCTTGCTCAAGTTTGGACGTGAGTGAAAGCTCCTCTTTGTGACGTTAGGGTAAAAAACTAGTTACTATGATATTTTCTCCCTTTTCTAGTAACAATATCTTGACAAGTACAGAGGGTAAACTCATTTTGGTTCTTGTCATGGAATACAAAGTCAATACCACCAACATACTATTTAATGTTCTTAAAGTACATAAGAGTACATTTTCTATTGCCTTTGTGAATATAAACATCCTGGCTAACTTTGATTACTTTCCTACAATTCCTCTTAGTATCCTTTTCTGAATTTTCCCAGAAGTACGATCAGTGTAACAGATACCCAATCACTGGAATTCATCAAGAAATAGATGTATATGGTTTTTAAATTGGGGGGGTGGGGGACACAAACTGGAATTAACCTATTTAATTTCTAGTTCTTACCATTATATTGAATGAAAAGTAAGCTTATGAAACAGCAGTTTTTGGAGATTTAAGAATGTCCAAATATAGTTAAAAAAAAAAAAATTCTGTTACCCCTTTTTCTATTATTAATATACCATTCCAGAATACATTGCATATTCCAGTACATTTTTGATCTTGTGGAAAAATACTCAAATTAGCCATATTTTGATAAAATTTAATATAGTTTACCTATTCCTAAGTTTGGAGTCCTGGGGACACAGTGGTTAAGAGTTCGGCTGCTAACCAAAAGGTCGACAGTTTGAATCCACCAGCCGCTCCTTGGAAACCCTGTGGGGCAATTCTACTCTGTCCTATAGGGCCACTATGAGTTGGAATCGACTCGATGGCAATGGGTTTATTCCTAAGTTTACATATTAAAAAAAATATTTTTGATCACTTAAGAAAAAGGAATTGTAAGACTTTACTTTCTCAGTTTTCTCCCTATTTCCCTCTGCTATCACCCTAGTCTAGTGCACTATCATCTTAAATAAAACAGCTTCAATTCCAGTCTTGCTCATCTCCAGTCCCTTCTTCACACTGTATAGTCAAACTTTCTAAGATACAAGTCTGATAACATCACTTTATTTCTTAAAATGCTTCAATGGGTTCCCATTGTCCTTAGGATAAAGTTCAAATTCTTCAGTATAGCTTACACAAAGTCCTACATGATTTAGTCCCTTTTCAGCCTCTTCTCTCAACACTCTGCTCTGGCAATACTTATCTTTGAACACTTCAGACATACCAGGTCCACTCCTGACTCTTAAGTATTTACACATGGGCTTCCCCCAACTCTCTTACTTCACCAACTCAGCTTAAACCTGTGAGGACCTGCTCTGACCCTCAAAGCTAAGAGAGGGCCTCTGCTGTGTAGCCTCAAGCACCCTGTATATCACCTTAATAATATCCACTGTGTTTAACTGTGTATACCCCACTGTTTCACATACAGTGAGTACTCAATTTGTTGATTGAAAGGTCTGTTAATATATCCACCTAAACCATTTACTTCCAGTAACTGTGCCAGCCCACCCCTCTGTCAAAACAAATTCTAGTAATAAAAATTATGAATATTTCAACTTACAAAAATAACTTCTGAATTAGTCTTAAATGTCAAGCAAATGCATTTCAAAGAAATCCATTTAATATCCTTGCTTTTACTTACATCTGAAACTGAGGAAGATTTTCGGAGGGCAAAGCCAGAGCCAAATCCAAAAATTTGCAAGCAGAGAGATAGAGGTTTAACCATCGCTGGCTGTTGTATGAAGTAGAAAAGCCATTACCTCCTGTATAGGTTGTCTCCAGACCAGCCACAGAGGGGCCGGAAGTCCTGCACGCAGGAGACGGTGTTGTCAGCAGCTGTACCCACTTACTCACAGATAATTACTGAAAAATCCAGCTAACATTTTTTATAATCACTCTGATATAACCATATCACTAATTGCTAAGCAAGGTTATGATTAAATTATTTTCGCTATTCTCAAATGAGAAATTCACTTTTAACTTTTTACAATGTAAAAAAGTAGTACATAATAACTTACATCACACTCAAGGAATATAAAAATACAAACTGTAAAAACTAAGAAACTCCACTGCTATTCTGTTTCCTTCTGCAGAGAAGACGAAAGAACTTTTGATAATAATAAACGCAGTTATTAATACAGAATACTTTATTAAGCTAGCAATGAGGGAGAATTAAAATATATTCAAGACCAACTGTCTTAAAGCAAATTTGTACACTGTATAAAAATTCTTGCTCATAAATTTTTCAATTTGTGGATTTTGTGTATAAAACTTCCTGCTTAAATAAAAATAAGTTACATTTAGTCTCACATTGATAAACTGCTTCTACTAAAAAGAATAAAATTACAGTACATTAAATTGGGACCATCTGGAACATCTGGACATAGGGGCTCCTTACTTTAAGGTCACCTGCCATAATAGATTTTGCTGTATGTTGCAATGTTTCAAGAAACAGCTCTGACATACCAAAACCAACCTAGCTCATGTAGCTGAAACAGTATTTAAGCTAAATTTGTATCTAGATGCCAACGGTCATGAATGCCAATAGTTTAATCCAGTCTAAAATTCTTAAGTGAAACTACATTATATTCAAATATGATCAAGTAGGTAATAAGGGACTGAATATATAAAACTGTACTAGTTGTTAAGGAATATTCTGGATAATTTTAGGATTTAAAAAAACTGAAGAATATACTGAAATGAGTTACATATTACCGTGAAATATCTTCATCAGCAGTGAGTTCCTGTTCCATCAGTAAAAATACCTGTACCTAGAGACCGTAGAATAAATTTTAAATGTTTATTTCCACTAGATATTTAATCTTTCTTTCAACTTATGCTGTATTTTCATTACTACAAAAACATTTAAGGCTGCATCTTCATGATCTTTTAAATTATATTTAGCTTCTGGAAGTAAAACTGCAATTAACAGCACAGAACCTTGATCATCATTTGGCAGAAGCCCATTATGGAACAGTGACATAATTAAAAAAAAGAAAAACATTAAAGCAGATTTTTCTGTGGTCAAATTATAAATGCTAGGTTTTCAGAGACAGATTCCTTTCCCTTTCTTACTCATCCCCTTTACCCTCACCCCTCAAGTCATTCAGACAAAGGTGACCTAGTGTGGTTTGAGGAAGGGGATGGACAGTATAGGTGGGATTTGGGAAAGTTTTATTGTTTGAGAGTATATGAAATCTTCTTGAAAGTCTCTCTGAAGCAAGCTTAACTAGTTAAGTGCTTCACTTCAAAAGTGAGCATATGCCTTACATCAACCCATCTAAATCTAGCTAAACCATCTCTTTTTACCCTAGCGGTGCTGCTGCAGGTGGAAACCAGTCCTGGCAGCCATGACAAAGTTAAAACTTTGATGTAGAAGAGAGAACTAAACCAGATGAGATGAATCAACGATTCACAAGGAACTGGCGATCTGGGTTGCCTATTTGGAAGTTTAAACTGTATGTAGATGGAATTGGACTTGGTTTACTTTTTTCGACTGTAAAAAATTGTCAGTAACTAGCTTAACTAGAGTTCAATTTTCTTCCAAGATTAGTTTTTATTCAGTAAGCATACAATAGATGATGATATTGTTGGTATTTAGATTTATACCTGACTGAATTAAAATTAACTCACAAGTTCTGTAATCATAGTAGGCCAGAGTGAGGTAAGATGTTGCGGAGACATTCTTAAAAGTAACACTCTGAAAAACAGGAACACTTGAGAGTGAAGAGTTGGCACCTGGGGCAGACGGAGACTCTCAACCAATCTCTCTGAAAGAAATGCAGTAATACTTTTAATACTAAATAATCTGAATCTTTATAAACCTTTTCTATATCATCTAGTCTAGGACTTTTCAACTTATCTGTAGTGAAGGAGCATTTTTAAAAAATTTTCCAATCTGTTGACAATCGATACTTTCATAAAATATAATCAGGATAAATTACTAGAAAAATGAAATTAAAAAAAAGACAAAATACAAATACCATTTTCTTATTAAATTCAAGAAAGTCTGTCAAATTGCTGTAAAAGTTTAAAATGCTTATTCTAAATTTCTGTACTTCTCATAGATAGGATAACAGACTAATACTGATCATTGGGCCACACTTTGAGTAGAAACGACCGACTCAACTTAAAAAAAAGTTACAGAACAAAAATATTGTACATGTCATGTATTTGACATTAGGTATAAAGGGTTAAGAAAGAAGGAATCACATGTCTTCTGGGAGAAGAGAAATAATTTCATGAGAGAATGACACCTGTCATTCCCAGGCCAGTAGCCATGCTGAGTGCTGAGGCTGGAGCCTGCACAAGCACACCCGGGAGGCAAGGAGTGTTCTGTTTTGCTGGGAACAATTCTGCTCTGGGTAATATTTATTCTTCCCACTGTGGAGCTATTTGGTGACATGAGGTGATTATAAATACTGATATCCTGGATACAGACGGTCACGAAACCCATTTGATGAAGATGATCAAAACCTATACAACTACCCCCTCAAACTATTGCCCTGCAAGTGTTACTTCTAGCTAAAATTTCCAGGCTCTGCCTATATTTTGGTCCTCTTCTTAAGGGTATAAACCCTTATCTACAATAAAAAAGAAAATGCTAAACATTTGCCTGCAGCAAATGAACAGTCTTCATACCTCGTCCTCAAACATGAATTCCTCGGACATTTGAACCAAACAGTAAAAGAGAGGTCACATGTAGGGAAGTTCTAAAAACTGCATCTTAAAGATACCGGTGATAATTTTTGTTGTGTCAGTAGAACAAATGTATAATTCTAAAACGTACTCAAGCAAACTCCCTACACTTGATGTATTTCACTCCAACTTACAACTTAGGGAAAGTATTTTCTAAGGAACAAAAAACACTATAGTTTTGAAAGACAGAAAATAGAGTTTTTCATGATTTACCTTGTATATCTGGAAGATATTTCTGGTACTGGTCAATTTCACTGCTAAAAATAGCAAATGCTAATCTTTTGAGAAGCATGGCTCTCTGTTCTAGCTCCACATCACGGTTTGCGAAGAGATTGAGTGAACTGCTTTGAGCCACAGCTACCCGAGCTAAAAAAAAAAAATGAAGCAAGTAAGAGACTGTGATACAGATATTCATCTAGTCATTTGAAACGGGATCTTTCTGTTACTGCTTTTTAAAAGTGGCTACAGATGCCCTATGACATCCAAGAGTGAGAGGAGCTTGGGGCTCCCCTGAGGCAGAAGAGCCAGCAAACAGACCCAGCATACACAAGCCACAAGACTAAAGGGTAGGAACTGTGATACCAAAAGACAATTTATAACTGGGTTTCAGAAGGTAAAACTACTAACAGTATCATTTTATAAAACTCTTTAATATTCCATATCATCTGCCCAAATCCTTCCCACTGCTTTAAAAATAATGTCTAGCCTGGACTGGTCCACCTACCTCTCCCTCCTTACGTTGTTGCTCATTCTGCTGCAACAACACTGTCTTACTTGCTGTTCCTTGAACTTCCCAGGCTTGCTCCCACCCCAGGGCCTTTGAAATTTTTGTTCCCTATGCCTGGAATGGGGCCTAGTGACGTAGTGGTTAAAGAGCTTGGTTGGTAACCAAAAGTTCAAACCCACCAGCCGCTCCTTGGAAAGCCTATGCGGCAGTTCTACTCTGTCCTATAGGGTCGCTATGAGTCGGAATTGACTCAACAGCAGTGGGTTTGGTTTGGTTTTATGCCTGGAATATTCTGTCCCTAGGCCTTCTCATGGCTGGCTTTTTTAGTTACAGCTCAAATATCAGCTCATTAGAGAGGCCTTTCCTAAGACTCATTTATCTAAAGTTTTTTTTTTCCAGTTAAAATCTATCACATCACCCTATTTTATTTCCTTCATAATTTTTCCCTGAAATATTTAAGGTTAGCACACTGCCTGGCCAACTGTTGTCTTTTAATATTTGTTGAATGGATGAATTTGAACCTTCCCAACAATCTTGTGAAGCAGACAGAAAAGATAGTATGTTGTCCTTTTTCCAAATGAGGAAACTGCAGTTTGGGTCACAGAATTTACACAAAATCTTTCAGACTGATATAATTTAATTACTATTTAAGCCCATTTAGTTTAATAACTTCCAAACTTTTTCTAAAAATTAAGAAAACTTTTTTATATACTACATGGAACTCTCGTATATAAACCAATCAAGACAGAGCAGAAGCGGAGTGGAGGGTGATTCAACTTTCTTGGCCCTGCTCATTGTTCATTAGGAGGAGATAAATAGAGCCCCAGAGAATTAAAGTGACTTGTTTGATAGGCCAAATCCAATTGCCTTTCCCTGTCCCTCCACTTTTAAGCCTTTCATTCATTAAATAATTATTTATTGAGCACCTAATATATGTCACTAACATGTGCCTAACCCAAGCCATGGTTTTTTTAATCGCCTCATATTCTGGAGAAAGAGCCCTGGTAGTGCAGTTGTTAAAAAGCTTGGCTGCTAACCAAAAGGTCGGCAGTTCGAATCCACCAGTCGCTCCTTCTACTCTGCCCTGTAGGGTCGTTATGAGTCGGAATAGACTCAATGGTAAAGGGTTTGGTTTGGTGCTGAGGAAACATAGTTAAATTAGATAAGACCCCTTCTTTCCGCTATTTATCACTAAGTTGTCCTCTGTAAGTTTTAAGTTGTAATTTGCAAAGAACTAATTCAGTAGTTCCCAGAAAAAAGCAAAGTGAACAATAAGAATGAATTACATATAGGAAACACACAACTTGGATTGTCATCCCATAATACTCACTCATCAAATCTCTAAATGTTGTCTTATCATGTGTCATCAAATTGTCCATAATTGCTCTCCAACTGAAAGAGACAAGGATTACAACATGTAATTAAAACTTTGTTGTTGTTTTTGTTGTTACTGTTCTAATTTGTGGGATAAGTTGAGCTCAACAAGCTTTGTGAGATGCACGATCATGCTGAATAAAAGCAAAACAACGACTTACTGATTAACACAAGAGGCATCCATCTGAAAGAAACTGGGATCCATAAAGAGGTCAAAGGCTTCTTTTTTCCAAGCTCTCCGTGTGTACTGATAACCACTAAGACTGCTAAGCAGCTGGACACAGGCTCGGTAACTAGGGGCATTATGTGCACTATAAGGAAGAAAAGCAACCTTAACCTATATAATTTTAATATCGTTATACATAAATGTTTGCATTTATCTAAGACAATGACGTGAAGAAATGAAACAAAGCAAAGAGAAATAATATCTGAATACATTTTTCTTTTTTTAATCATAATAATTCAAGGCAAAAATGTCATTTTGTGGTAATTTCAGAAATGATAATAAGAGAAGACAACTTGTTTTTTAGAGGCTAAGAACTTAAAAAATCTATGTAAATAATAATACCTGTGATTTCGGAGGTAGGGCACAACATAATGCATAATATTTACAAGTAATGGAATAACTCTTTCCTTTTCATCACTATAGAAAACCATATCGAAAAGGTGAGCCAAAATCTAGGAAACATAAGAAATGAAATGGAATACAATTTTATAAGCTGAAACTGATTATCATCCAAAAGAATCTATTTTTCAGTCTGTAAGAAAATCTAGATACCTAGCAAGCATCATTATACCACCTCTACCTCTCTCCACCATATTGCTATAAAAAAGCACTTTTCTTCTTAAAAAATACACTTTAAAAAAAGTGTGTGGGAAGGGGGAAGCATTCTAAAATTATAACTAATAAAAAATCTGAATATAGATAAAGTAAAAACTTGGAATTAGTTAATTCTATATAGCCATTTCTAGAAGTACAAAATGATTTTTCTAATTAAAAACTTCTCCATAAAAATTATTTGCTAATATTTAATAGTGAAATTGTTTAGACTAAAGTTCTAGTGAAAAAACTTGTTAATATTTACCTCAGAGAGTAGTATCAATGCATGAACACTATATACAGAGGGAGTTATATTTGAGGTTTCCATTGCAGGTGATAACATATCTAAATAAGAGAAAAGATAGATAAAATATACAGTTAGGTACTTTCCCACTGAAAAAAGCCAGGGATGATTTTATGGTACTTATAGTTGTAGCTAAAATAATTTCTTAACCTAATATTTGAGAGCAATACCTTCAACATCAGATTCCAAATTGGTTCCATCCACCATTATTTTGGGAGAAGGCTTAACTTCAAGATTTCGTCGCAGCCATGTTGTCTGTTCCAAAGAAGAACCAGCAATTGCACCAATTGCATCTACTATTTTATGTGTTACATCCTAAAGAAACAAAGAAGAACCATGAATAAATATGCTATCACCATATACTAGTTATAAACTCTTGTTGTTCAGATTTCTGGCAGTAGATATGATATACATTGATTTTCATAGAATCATGAAATGTTAAGAGTTGGAAGAAACTTCACGAGTTATCTTATTTGACTCTGACATTTTAGAGTTGAGGGCAATAATAAACACAGAGTTTTGTAAACTACACTCAATTCAGAATGCCTTACCTGAAGATCTCTTTGGTCTTTTTTATTTTCTAAACTAGGGTTTTTCATAATAAACTCATTGAGAACCCTAAAAGAGAAAAACAAAAACAAGAAATATTATTCTAAAAAAATGATGCATTCTAATTTCTCACAGTGAGCAAGTGGCTTTGTGGCCTTAATTTCCATTCTAAATCTTTAACGAATATATATACTTACTCTGTGACTCAAACGAACTAATACATATATGCATAAAAAGACATGTACAAGAATGTTCATAGCAGCATTATTTATAAAAGTCAAAAACTAGAAAGTACCCAAATATCCAGCAACAACAGAAGAGAGAAATTGTGGTATGTTCGTACAATGGAATACTAAACAACATCAAAAATGAATACATTAGAGTTATATAAAATTACATGAATGAATCTCACATACATATGTTGAGGGAAAGAAGCCAGACATACAATAAAACAGTTACATATACACAAAATTAAAAAACAGCAAAATTTATCAATGGTGGTAGAAGCCGAAATAGTGGTTATCTCTGGGCAGAAGAGAAAGGATAGTAACTGGGAGGGAGCCTGACTGTCATTAATCAAATAACCATACAAATTATTAACATATATCAGGAAACTCCAAGGCGAAGAGAGAAAAGGACTTTTCCAAGCTTTTTTATGTTCAGGGGCATTTACCACCTCTCTCCCTTTTCAATTCTACACTTTCCCCTGAAAGTAACTTCTGTTAAGAGTTTTATGTTAGTGCATTTATATTCTGTATATGTAAAAACAACATACCACCACTCCCCCCCTTTTTTTTTACAGGCCTTATATTATACATCTAGTTTTGCACCTTGAGTGCCCTATAAAAAGATAGATTAAATGTCACCCAAAAAACATCTGTTATTCAACAATTCGGACAATGGACATTATCTTTTTATTTGAAATACTATTAAATGAAATTTCTTACCCCAGTATAAGAAACTGCCCTGGAGCTGGAAGACTCAATTGTATAGAGTCTTTCAGAAGTACCAACAATGATGCCCAGCTATCCACTAAATTGGGCACTGGAATCCTGTAAGATAAATACGGTTTGTATAAATTGAAATCCACAGTAATCTTTAATTTTCTTTTTATCTTCCCACAGTCTTTAACACATTTTCCTGCTCATTTCTCTGAAACATCCCCAAATTTTTATAGACTGTGATAGATCAAAATCCCTGAAAACTTTATATATTTTTTCCTAATATAAGAAGAAAACTAAACACATTCAAAATACCCACTGTGATTTCTTAATCTATATTTTTGATAAGAAATCCCAATTTTTAATCACATGGACTCTAAAAAAGTTAAAATCCAAACTGCTGTACATCTCAGTTTAATTACTGACATCTCAGTCATCTTCCTACCCTGGTCTCTCCACTTCCCTCTTATATTAGCTCTTTTTCCTTCATATATGAATTTCCACATCATAGGGAAAGCTGTCAGTTTATCCTGAACACCATTCACTCAACTATAAAGAAATTAAGATTATCTTTGTATCAACCTGTCCTTAAACCAAATACCTCTCTATGTCTAAGTTCAGATTTTAGGCAGTCCTTGCTCTAAGTCACAACCTGTTTAAATACACTAAGCAACTTAACTTTATAAATGTTAGTCATAGATCATAAATGCATGCCAAGTTTGGTGATTAAAATGGAATTATACTGCAGGAAAGACTTAAGATTTAGATTCTCAAGTAAGAAGAAATTATCAAAAATCAAATAAATTCTTTTCTGGGGTCAGCTAAACACAAAGCTGGAATACTATGACAAAAAGGTATTTTCACATTATCATTCCTAACATCGTTTAATCAGATTAGATTGCCACATATTCACTTATATCAAAATAATAATGGATTCTGTGGCAATATGGATGGTTTCAAGAGTAGGATTCAGTTTTTTGTCATTTATAGTTAAATTATTGTTATTTGCCGACTCCTAGTGACCCTATAGGACAGAGTAGAACTGCCCCACAGGGTTTCCAAGGAGCAGCTGGTGGATTCAAACTGCCAAACTTTTGGTTAGCAGCCTGAGCTCTTAACCACTTCACCACCAGGGCTCCATATTTAAATTATTTTCTTATAATTCAGTGTTTTAATAACCAGTATATCTTCCAATATACGTAGGCCTTTAGGTTGGCAGGACTGGCATGGCTGGGTCATTAATATGGCCATAACTTGTATTATATCCAAAGACAGTGTTTTCTGTTTTCAGCATTTGTTATTAAAATTTTAGGGAGAAAAAAATCTAGCAACTTCTTCAAAGATTTCAGGCACTTTTCCTCCTATATTCCCTAACTTTTACACATTACTAATGCAATAAGGAAAGGTTCACATTAGTTATCTTACCTTTGAATATAAGCGTAGAAAAACTGAAGCATGCAGACTTCCAATGAAAGATGTTTCTATAAACAAAAGAAATCAATTTTTCAGTGAAGAAAAATGCTACCTTTGCTTTTTCATCGCTACAACTATTCTGCATCTTATTGCCAATTTTTAGTTAAAAAATTAAAAGAAAACAAAAATATTAGTTGTAAAAAACATGTAGCTCTGTGACTTATTACAAGAAACTCGTAACACAAGAGGTATTTAAAAAGTTGAAAATAGATGGAAGGAATTAAAAGATTCTCAATGTTTCCTCCCACATATCAGAAAATTGATACTCAACTGTCCACTTTTAATGATACATTTACCCTAAAAGCATCTAGAGTATTTTTGGTGCTATCAGAATTAGGTTGAGGTTTTTTTTTTTTTTTTAATTAAACATGAATTTAACTCTATTTTATTATACATACTTGTTACATTTGTGTAGTTCGTTCAAATTTGGGACCAGTTTGCAATAGTCTGAAGTGAAGTCATTAAAGATAGGACTAGGTCCAACATATAATAAAAAGGAACACTTGCCCTTAGAAATTAGTAATAGGTAAGAAAATGATACTGATGTCTATTCATATTTACTAATTTGTTCCTTTAAGTCTCAACTATTTCCTCGAAGGTTTCCCCTTTTAGCATACAAAGAAAAACTGAGTGTCTAATGGACTCAGAATTTAGTAGTCTGAGACCAGGTTGGGGAGGCAGGGAACTGGGTCATAATTGTTTTTGCATCCTCATGCTTAACCCAATGTCTGCCACAAGTAGATGCTCAAAATATCATGCTGAATTAAGCATTCACATACAAACTAAAATCCTATGACAAATGCCCCAGGAATGATTTCAGAATAGTAAAGAAATTAGTAAAGAATTAATAAAGAGCTACCAAGGCCTCCACCAGACTGAGTCCAGTACAGCTAGATGGTGCCCAGCTACCACCACTGATTGCTCTGACCGGGATCACAACAGAGGGTTCTGGACAGAGCTGGAGAAGGATGTAGAACAAAATTCTAACACACAAAAAAAGACCAGATATATTGGCCTGAAGGAGACTGGAGAAACCCCGAGAGTATGGCCCCCAGACACCCTTTTAGCTCAGTGGTGAAGTCACTTCCGAGGTTCACTGTTCACCCGGGGATTGGACAGCCCATAAAACAAAATGGGACTAATGAGGCACAGCAGTCCACGGACAAGGACTAGAAGGCAGAAGGGGACAAGAAAGCTGGTGATAGGGAACCCAAGGTTGAGTAACGACAGTGTTGACATGTAGTGGGGTTGTTAACCATTGTCAGAGGGCAACATGTGTACCAACTGTTTAATGAGAAACGATTTTGTTCCGTAAACCTTCATCTAAAGTGAGAATAGCAGCACAACTGGAAGAACGTAATTGATGTCACTGAATTGTGTATATAGAAATTTTTGAAATGGTGTACCTTTGGCTATGTATATTTTCACCAAAAAAAAAGAGGTCGAGAAGGGAGAGTGTTGACATGTCGTGGGGTTGTTAACCAATGTCATAAAACAATATGTGCACTGACTATTTAATGAGAAACTATTTGTTCTGTAAACCTTCACCTAAAGTACAATAAAAAAAATTAAAAAATTAAAAAAAAATCCTGGTTCCCCCTCTCCTTAACTGCTGCCCAAAACTAGAAGAAATTGGAGGAAACCTGTTTAGGCGCCATGTTGACATTCAGGATAACCTTTTAGCTCATTAAGTATCTCATGCATAGTAACTTTCCTGCCTCTGGGTGGAGTTTAACTGCCATTTGCTGAACATTCGATGCATGAAGTTATATGCAAACCACATTGTGCCTATGTAATATGATTAAGAATGTTGCTGATATATCTTGTACGAACCTCCTACTTGTAAACCCCTGAAAAGTAACCTTCCCAGTCACCCTCGCTGAGCAGTCTCGGCAGCAGCAGCCCCGACTGTTTCCTTTCCTTGCACAATGAAATAAAGGCGGCTTTCTACTCCGCCCCCCCCCCCGAAAAAAAAACATTAATTAATTAATAAAGACACTGACTATGCACACATATACTTTTCCCCTGGTGATTCAGGAAAACTTAAATAAATAAAATCAACCTTTTCAGATGTATGGAACAATTCTTTTAAGAATGTGATTAGGTCTATTTTGGCTTGGCTTAAAGTCTAATGTTTCTGGTTGGTAAATATACATGTACTCCAAGAAATACGACCTCTTGGTATTTCTGGAGCAAAAACCAGAAAAAACAGAGAAGCCTATAATTTTACTAATTTGTAGACTTTTATGTCTGCCTAATTAAAGACAAAGCACTGTGAGTGCAGGGACTAGGTCTAATTCAATTTCTACAACCCTTGTACAGCACAGCCTTGTAAGTGGTCAAGAAATGACATGGACTAGAACTAAGGTTATGGCAAAACCTGGAGAGTTTACAGAATTGATTCATTCAGAACAGACAGGAATAAGGGTGCTATGAAAAGTGGCAACTAAGGTATGCTGACCCTGGCCTCTGGCTCCTGTGTTCTTCCTTTAAATAAACAGAAACACTTCCCCTAAGAATTTGTTCACACAGCTCCTAACTGCCTTGGGAGTATATGTAGGGAGGTAGGTGCAGTTAACAGCTCTTCATTGGCTATAGGAATGATCATAATAGCAAATCATGGCAGATACTGATAACTGTTTTCATTACAGCAGTGCGAGGACCAGATGCAATCATCTCTGCCATTAGTACTATAGTTAAAAGGACATATGGTACAAAAATGTCTTACCTATCAGCATCATTTCTGAAACAAAATTGTGAACAAAAGCTAAGAAAAGCTTTTTCTTACCTTGTCCTTTGCTATGGCTGGCGGCTGCTTTAAAACTTCTTTCACAGTCTGGATAACAGTTTCTGCTCTCATGACACTGATTGAACGAACCAGTTCCACTAGTAAAAGCTGTTCTTCACTGGCTGTAGGAATGACCTGAATAACACATCATTGTATGCATGTTTTTCTTTTTTAAAAAAACAAAACAACAAAAAACTTTGTTGCTGTGGAGTTGATTCCAACTCATAGCAACCATACAGGACAGAGTAGAACTGCTCCATAGGGTTTCCAAGGAGTGACGGATGGATTGAAACTACCGACTTTTTGGTTAGTAGCCGAGCTCTTAACCACTGCGCTACCAGAGCTCCTATGCATGTATAGATGTGTGTATATAATTTTTTTGAACAGCAGAAACAAAATTAAGAGAATATCTTATGGCCTCTTCTTAATATAAAAAGACTTCTTCTTTTCAAGATACTTAACTAAGTAAAATTTCTTTTTAAATCAATATACAACATGTACCTCATTTCAAAAAACCAAACAGGATGATAAACCCAATAAAAAATAGCAGTACCTTGCCCCATCCCTTCCCATGCCCAAAAGCAACCATGCTTAACTCTTTTAGTTCTTTTCTATTATTTCTAAATAACATACTGCTATTATTTTTTCCTACTTCAGGATTTTTTTTTTCAATTTTAGACATTATCTATTTACTTCTGACTTTAGAAGAGTTAGCTCTCTTACACTTCTTTTCCTATGCCCCAACATAGTTATAGTGTCCTTTTCTTTAAATTAATATCCAATGTTTGCATGACATTTATGGCTGTGCTGTGTATTACACTATAATTGTATTTCTTACGCAACCTTTTGCTTTTCCTAGAATAAACTGCCTTTTTGTTTGCTTGATTTTCTCTGTATCACAAGTTCATTCCCAAATGCACCAACAATACAAATCTCTTCTAATTACATATTCAAATACATCAATTAATCTTCTACTTCCTCTTGTTTTTTTTTTTTTTTGAGACATCTCTGTTTTATGTCTTTCTGCTGTACCCTGGATTGGTACTCTTTAGGCTTACTACACAGTATCATCTTGGTATCTCTCCTATCACTTCCCTTTGCTTCTTTTCTCCTGTGTTGGAACCCCTATTGCTTGTATGCCATGTCTTCCTGCCTTGGTTTATTCCTCCTTCAAGTGAAAAGGCATCTTTTAGTAGCTGAAGAAGGCTGCATTGATGGGATTTTTTTTTTTTTGGGGGGGGCAGGGGGAGGAGAGCACTGCATGACTAAGAATGCCTTGGCTGGGTATAGAATTATAGGTTAAGACTAATTTTCCCATCAAAATTTCCATGTTGCTATTGACAAGTCATCATCATTCCTTTGAATGGAACCAGTATTATTTGCTTTAGAAGATTTCAGGATCTTTTCTTTATCCCAATTTCTGAAACTACACACTGATGTGCCCTGGTATGGATTTTTTTCCCAGTGCTGGGCACAATCTGGATATTTAGTTCCTTAATTTCTGGGGAATTCTCTTGGACTACTTCATTGATATTTTTCCCCTCATTTTTTCTGTTTTTTTTTTTTTTTGTTTCTGCAAAAAGATTGAGTCTCCAGTATTGCCTTTCTTATCGTCTTTCTCCATTTTCTCTCTCTTTAAATTTTTATTCTTCTTGGTTATTTATCTACTTTATCTTCTAAACCTTCTATTGACTTTGTTTTGTTTCTGCTGTAACATTTTTTAATTTCCAAGAAAGTTTTTAATTTTCTGAATACTTTTTTTCATAGTCTCCTCTTATTTCATGGATGCAATATCGTGTCACTTCTTGAAGGACATGACTGTATTTACATTTTATTCTGTTCGTTGCATTGTTTCTTTTGATTACTTTTTATCTAGTTGTTCTGGTCTTTGTATTAGAGGCTTTCTTCATGTGACTGTTAATCCTTGGCTGTCTATTCATATTTTAATGTGAAGAATAATAATACAGCTAATATTTACAGAGTGCTTATTAAGTCCCAGCCATTGCTCTAGGTGCTTTATATATACATTGACTCTTTTGCTTCTCATACCCAAGTAGCACTTCTACCCTAAGGTCACATAGTGAGTGAGAAGCCACAACTTGAACTCCAGGGATCTGGGCTCAAAGTCTGTGCTGTAACCACTGCTATTACTACCTCTCAAAAAAGAAAGAGTGATGGTCTTGCATTTGTGGGCAAGACTAATGGATAGATGGGTTTCCCTGTATAGTGACAGTGACCCGCTTTTTTTTGTTGTTGTTGTTAGGGGATGCAAGAATGTCAGTAGCTATAGTTCTCTTTTCTTGAATAGGCCATTTTCCCAGAGAGAGGAATCCTCAAAACTCCTACTTGAGGGAGATTTAACATATATCTTCCTGTCAGCTAATTGGGGTGAGGTTGATTTCCATTTTCAGTATGTAAACTTTTCCTGAATGTCCTTGTTTCAGCTTCAAGTCTAACTTCTACCTGCATAAACTCTGGGCCCTTGGGTCTAGAGCTTTTCTTGATAAACTCTTCATACAGTTCCCCTTAGATGGGGCCCAATAACTCAAACTTAACTCCAGTCTCCTGCTGGGGTAGGAGAGGTGGATGGTTGCTTGGGTTGGGGGAAAAGGATCTGGCTGGCAGGAGTCTTCTGCTCCTTTTATAAACTTAAACCAGCCCTCCAAATTTCAACCCCATTCCAACCCTTTGTATCTAGTACTTCTCTAATTCCTGAGACCGTGGTTCTGCAGTGGGAATTGGTTCCCCTCTTGTAGGCATTTAGATAACAGCCGTTTCTACTCTAAAAAAGTCAGTTACAATTCAGACATCGGCTTTTCATCTTGCAAAATTTTCTTCAGAGTTCTTATTTTCTCTGGTCACCTCTCCCAATATTTTTTGTCATTGTGGATTTACAATTTTTTAAATTGTTTTATTCTTATTTTTGGGACGAGAGCAGAGAAAAATGCATGTGTACAATATGCCATGTTAAATCACATGTCGTTGCTTTCAAATAGACTAGGATTTCAACTCTGTCTAGAGTAACATCTATTACTGAATCCTAACATGCGAAATCATGCAATATGAGTGGGAATGTTTGTTTATTTTTACTACTTTCAAAAAGTCAGAATAAATATAATGTGAAGTCGGTACAAAAATAACAACCCTTATAACAACAACACCGAATAAAAAAAGTCAGAAACTTTAGCTGAACAAATCACATATATGAAATTAAATTATTTGATATCTTCACCATTCTAATGAGTCACCATTTATTTCCAACATATAACCCTCTTCAAACTCACAAAACAACAAAATTTTCACATTTTCATCTAGTCAAAACCAATATGTCAATTATATTTAGAAACATGAACTAAGCTACCATACTGCAATGAAAAACTAGTCAAGACTAAGCTTCTCTCCAGACCCTTGCTTTGTACTGAATGATGAGCATTTTAAAATAATTACCATTTCTGTTTGAAATATAGCTACAGTTGTAATATGCTACTTTCTCTTTATCTCCACATAAAATAGTGCCTTTTATACTTGATTTCAAAATTTTAATCAATACATATTTAAAGAAACTTAGGTAACAAGTCATCTAAACCTGTAGACAAACTACATTGGTTTTCAACTCCCCACCCCACTACCACCGAGCCCCACTGCAACTAATGGAGAGTGAACATTGGTATGTACCTACCAACTGCTTACTAAATGAAAAAACAAAAAAGTACCAAGTGGTTAAATACATACCTTTGTCCTGGTGGTAGTTTTGTTTTGCCTCCTTTCATTCCATACAAATGCAATGGCAGCCATAAAGTGAACACCATGATTCATTGAGATGGGCCCCAATAATTCAAGGATCTGCTGTCTCAAGTTCTAAAATGGTTTTAGCAAATGACAGGTGAAATTAAAAAACAAAACAAATAAACTCCAAAACTTTATGAAAACATTAGTAACCAGATTGCACTTCTAGTTTTTCTTGAACAAGGCCTGGCAATCTACTTCCAAAAATTAGCTAATAAAAACCCCATGGATCACAACAGAGTATTGTCCAATTACAAACGATCATGCAGATGGTGGAGGACAGGGTAATATTTCATTCTGTTATACACAGTGTTGCCATGAGTCAGTGCTGACTTGATGGCAACTAATGACGACGACAACAACATATGCAACTTACGTGTTTTATTGCCTAAATAATAGTAAAGGAACTTCTAGTGATGTTAACAGATGCTACCATGGCCATTTTAATTTTAAAAGGAAAAAATCCTATAAAGTGACAACTACCAGTCAGCCAAATGCAAGAGTCTACTCACTGGTGAGATAATAGAAAAACACAATATATGAAATTCAATTTATTGTTAAGTTTGATGAAGAATCTTTTAAAAAGTTGGAAGACATTTTCTAATTATTTAAAATTTCAGTGAAATTAAACCAATAAAGGATAGTTTAATCCAAACATCAGTTTTTTGACAAAATTTTCTAACAGTTCTCATCCTTCCCTTTCCCCCAATTTGATACATGTTCCTGTGACTCCTAGATCTAGAAAGTCAGGTGTAGGAATAAGATTAGACAATTGAGGTATGTCAATCTGACAACCTGATACAGCATAACATGCTTTTAAAATATTTATATCATTTTCCTCTAAAGATAAAGTAGAATATTTCAAAAATAAGGGAGTATAAGGAAGAAAAAATTTTAAAAATTCAACCATTAATCCCATCATCCTGAGACTACTAATATATGAACTGTTTTTCTTTTTCCAGACAATTTTTTTTAAGTAATTGCAAATGCAATGTTTGTTCAATTATATGACATCCTTGTTTTATTAAACTTTTGAGCCCTGTTCCATCCAGTAAGAATTCTTCCAAACCATGATTACTAACAACTATATAATGTAACACTGAAAGGATGATTTAGTTAACCATTTCCTTTATTGTTTAGGTTCTCTCTTTTTTTTTTTTTTGCCATTAAATAATGCTATGATGAACACTTTGTATATATATCTTGGCTTAATTTTGATGATGCTAGAATTTATTTCCAAAGTAGATTATAGGTCAAAGACTATGAAATGTTTAAAGACTATGAAATGTTACTAAATTGTTTTACAGGAGGGTTTTACATGCTAAAATGTCAACTTAAACCAATGCAAACCTGTTGTTGTGGAGTCCATTCCTGGAGTCAATTCTGACTCCTGGTGGCCCCATGTGTTACAGAGTAAAACTGCTCCATAGGATTTTCTTGGCTGTAATCTTTATGGAAGTACTTTCTTCTGCAGCACCACAGGGTGGGTTTGAACTGCCAACCTTTCGGTTAGTAGCTAATCAAAAACTACTTGTGCCACCCAATGACCTTAAAAAATGTCCTTAAAAAGGGAAGAAAGTACTGATGCATGTTATGAGACGTATGCATTAACCCCAAAATGAATCTCAAAACATGCTATGTGAAAGAAGCTAGACACAAAAGACCACATATTGTATGATTCCATTTATATAAAATGCCCAGAAATGGGAACTATATATCTAGAGAAAGAAGATTAGTGGTTGATTGGGGCTAGGATGGGAAGAGGGAGTGACTATAAATGGGCATGAGGGATCTTTTTGCACTCATGGATGTATTCTAAAATTAGTGGAGATAGTTTCACAACTCTCTAAATTTACTAAAAATCACTGAACTGTATACTAAAAATGGATGGATTTTATGGTGTGTCAATCATATCTCAATACAACTGTTAAAAATTATTTGATAATAAATCAATCCATGCAGAGTATCATAAATACTACTCAAATTATTCACAAATTCTCAATCTAATCTTTGCAAAAGTCCTTTATAGACTCTTGAACACTACAGATTAAGTGTGAATTTTCCAACCTTTGTGGCTCCAAGATTAATAGTGGTAACAGATGCAGAGGCAGCAACAGCCATCTTTTCTGAAGAATCAGCCTGATGCAGGATACTCCAAAGCAATGTCACAGAGGACATGATCATATGAAGGATTGAGAGGATTCCACTACGTGCTTCAAACAAGTGTTTTTGGTCTACATTGACCAAAAGCTATTAAAATTGGGGGAAGAAACATAATATCACTTACTGAGGTTTACAAAAGGGGATTTATTAGACCTCATAGTCTTTATAAAGAAGTCAAATATTTATGCAGTCTTACTTGGTGATACTGGGTAGTTGGATCCAACAAACAGTAATGGATAATAGCTGTGATGCCTTCTAAAAGAGTAAGAATCATATCCGGTGGAATAACTGATGCCATCCACAGAGGCCTGAAATAAAATGTGCTCATTTTAATGTAAGTTTTGTCAAAACAAAGTTCATACTTTGTCACTGATAAATACCCAGCATATGCCAGGCACACAGTTAGGTACTCAATAAATATTAGATGAATAAATGACAAAGAGTAAACCAGAGGATTTCATTTCCTAGTCTATAAAATAAGTGAGTTGTATGAAGGTTCTTTTGGGCTAGAAAATTCTACACAATCTCACCATGAGTCGGAGTCGACTTGATGGCAATTGATTATTGGTTAAACAAATATGGCCAGTGAATCTCTAGCAATTGGTGAACAGCAGGCATATGGATAATTAAACTATGTAGGCAGCTTTCTTTTCTTTTTTGACATTGTAGCCAAGGTTATACTGGAGAAAAACCAGATACCAGTCTACTAAATATTTGGCTAATTTTCTACAGACTTAAGAGTTGGTGCCAACTCGATGGAACCTAACAGTAACAACAATTTTAAACACGGACTGTTTAAAATTTGCCACCAAGCCATGAAAATCCAAAACAAGAAACAAAATTAAATGGCAAAAGAATTATTTGTAAATTTATATTAATCAGTGTAAAGTTAATTTGCACTTAGATAACATATCAGAGATAAAACTATGGAAACTCTCTCCTGAGCTTTCTATTATTTTTGCCAACTCAGTCAAAAAGAGTATCAATGTTTTAGCCCTTGGGAGAAAAAAGGCCTGCTTAAATATTCCTTCCCTTTTCCATTCTTTTTCCTTATATTGATACTCTTAAGCTGAATTTTCTTCTTTGTGAAAATGACTTACTATTTGTAACCTATTGATAACCACTAATTTCTTTACTCAAATTGTAACTACCTTTCAGTAGGTGCTCGATAAATATTAGATGAATAAATGACTGGAGCCCTGGTGGCAAAGTGGTTAAGAGCTCAGCTGCTAACCAAAAGGTTGGCAGTTCAAATCCACCAGCTGCTCCTTGGAAACCCTATTGGGCAGTTCTACTCTCTCCTATACAGTTGCTATGAGTCGAAATTGACCCGACGGCAACCAGTTCTAGATGTTTAAGCAGTCATATATGTGAAAAATGCCAGTGGCAACAAGATAAAGATCAACCCTTACCTACTATCAGATAAAGCTGTTTCATATTTGTACTGCTGAATTAGGTTATCCAAATTTCTGCAAAGCTGTAGTGTCACAGAAACAACCACTCTCTGTAGAACTTTTCCCATGTAAGGCAGACTAGATGTGATTAAACCAATCCATTGTGGGTGCATTTTACAAGCACAGTGTTGATGAAGAGCTCGTATCACTGCACAGAGGAACATGCCTTGACATGTGATTGGCTGAGCATGCAAATACTGAAGAGAAGTCATGGGCTGATGGGGGTTGATGTGTTCTAGGTCAGATACAACAAAATCAAAACCTGTTTCATTCTCTTCAGGGATAGTCATTACCCGGTGCTCTAGAATAATCAGCCTCTGAAGCACCTTCAGAAGTTGTGACTGGAGCGTGCTACCATTGTCAAATTCATCCTCTGAGAAATTGATAAGACTGTCCTCTGAGAAACCTTCTTCCACAGCAACTATGTTCTTACCTGCCATTTTTTCACTATGCCACTTCTGTGCACTAAAGATAGATGATAGCAAACAGTGAAGAATTACCTTCTGAACTTTACACTTAGATAACATATCAGAGATAAAACTAGGGAAACCCTTTGCTGAGCTTTCTATTACCTTTGCCAGCTCAGTAAAGAGGAGTGTCAAAATTTCTATGCTCATCATCTGCATGTTTCGATTGCCTATTAAATCTTGTGCAGTAACCTTGACATGAGTTGGGTAATGGCTACGCATGTAATATAAGCAGAGGGAAATAAGGATTTCTATGTACATAGAACTCCGGAAGTTATGATTAGAGTCCACTGGAATGTGACTATAGAAGTCTTTGCCCATAACAGAAATCCGATGTCTGGCCAATAAATTCTGAAGCAGAGACAACTGAGGAGTGTACGCATTATTTACACTAGTGGTTGAAATGGCATTTACAAAGGCAACAGGATTAGTTTTCAAGATGGCTTTGATAGCAGAGAAAGCATACAGAGTCCTTGATGAATCATACAACTGCAGATACAGGAGTACATGTTGATAGAGAGGATGGATGTTAAAGTTGGGAGATTTCCGTGATCCTGGAGAACCCATGTCACTCTCAATTTCAGAGATTTCTCCTTCTCCACAGCTATACCAGTTCTCTAAATCCAGACCATCACTAAAGAATACACTGGTTTGTTTGAGTTTTTCATTTGAAGTTTTTTTCTTGTCATCATCCTTCTTTCTGGCAAGTTTTACTTTGGGTTTTGCTCCTGGTTGTTTACCTGATTCCTTGACAATTGTTTCTTTCTCTGAGACTTTTTCTGATAATTTTTCTTTGAAGCTGAATTGAATACTACTGTGACTCCTCTGTCTAGATTTGGTTTCTGTAGAAGCAACAGAAGGGTCATGGAGAGTCAGTGTGGTTCCGGAAATACAAGGTGAGGAGCTATTTCTGGAGATTCCATTTGTCACGTACTGACAGCCGTCCTCCGCAGACACAGACAGAAACTGTGAACTTTTGTCACTCAGCAAACCACTCTGATTCTGCTGGGTGGACTGATCTTCATTTTTAATTGTCTCCTCACCCATATCTAAACCACTGCACTGTGATGTCATAACTTCACTTTCTAACTGAGATGAAATTGATGCTGATTCTGCTTCAAGACCACTTATGACTTTACAAATTAGGTCAAACACTACCTGCTGAACATCATCATCTGGGGAGCTTGCCTTTGGCATTTGAGATTCCTCTTGGGCACTCACATTTTCAGCTTCCACTTCGTAACTCAAGTTATCCCCAGCAGAGGAATGTGAACATCCAGAGTCAGAACTCTGAAGTATTTCTATCTGTTGGTCTGGAAGATCAAAATCAGACACAACCATTGGAATTGTCTCACTGCTGGTACTTAGAAGGGAAAGTCTGTCACTTAATGGATTAACAGTGAGACTAAAGTTCTCTATTTCATCCATGGTAAGTGGCTTTTCACCATTTCCTTTAGATGTAATGAGTTGCACTTGGCTTACTGTCATAAGAGAAAATTTGAAAAGGAGGAAAAATATAAAATTTATTAATATAATTTATATGTAGAAAAGGTAAACTTAAGATTATTAATCATTAGTATCATTTACTAGTAAAAATACTTATTGATTTATCATTATTTTAGACCTTTTAAGTCATAAAATTATGTAGATTACTCTAAGAGTTTAGAAGTTTAAAGATAACAATAGAAGGCCTATTATTGAATTCAAATAAACAGAACATCATTTTAACATACACAAAATGTAAGTGTCCTTTCCTCCCAAAATAAGACATCCTTTTTACTGCATCTCAAAATTTTAGATTTTTCTCCTCCCTGTATAATACTTCCCTTTAGTTATACTATTTCTAAGAGTTCAATCAAAGTTTAGTATATAGTCAATGTATAATAACCTCCTCGATTTTAATAAAAGTAAAAAAATATTTATGAACTCTACAGTATATTTAAGGTGCTAAACTAGGAGATAATGAGCGGGGAGATAAGGAAGAAGCATCATTGCTCCTCTTTTGAGAGTTTAAAATTAGTTGGAGACCACAAATATACATTCATCCATTTCTGTACCTTTATTGGGGACAATTGCTATTGATAGCATTCTTTTGGAAAAGGCAGAAGCCATAGTGCCACACAGTAGTACAAACCAAACATCATGGAGCTCAGGGAAAGCACTGTGACACCACAAATGGGGCCTGAGATTGATCTCAGAGGGGAATGAGAATTCAGCAGATAGACAGAGACCACAGCAGGTAAAGTGCTAATACAAAGATTTTCTGGCAATAAGCAGGGTAGAACATGATCTTGGAGATTTAGTAAAAGCCAGAGAAGGAAACTGAGGCGCTGCAGAAGAAACACACTAGAGATGGAGAACATGAAGCTTCAGTTCCAGCTTCACCACTTACCAGCCGTGGGAATTTGAGAAAGCCACAGCCTTCTGAGGAGCAGTTCCCCACTTGGTAAGTTACCTTTTTATGACCTGACTTCACAGTGTTACTTGTCAAGAGATATAATTGAGATATGCAATTCTCTTTTGTCCTTAAACTATAATGAATGGATCCAATATAAAGGGCTGTTATTACTGCATCATAAGAGGGTATCACTCGGCAATTTCAAAGTGTGGACTTAATAGTGTGAGCATCACAGGCTTTATATAAATTCTCAGTGAAGAATCTACAGAGCCTTGCAGGCCTAGTATTGCTAAATCAGCTCTAAAGGTATTTCCATCAAAATTGAGAAATGTCTCTCTGACCAGAGCTGTGGCTGATTCCTCCTCTGGTAGCATCAACCAATAAGAAAGATCCAAATTCTCTAAGACAGCCACTGATGAAGTACATTTTGACAAAGCCTACATAAGCACTGCTTCAGGGGGTGGGGGTAGGGGAAGGGGAGAAAATAAGCCTATGGGCAAAATCTCACTTCAATTCTCCTGCCAATCACTTTTGTGTTCACCTCTCACTTTCTTATTTTAATAACTTAATTCCAAATAAGGCTATTTTATTTCCATGTGATATTCACCATTGCTGCAGACAAAATTTTCCACGAAATGCTTGTCATTCTCCTCTCCTGGATAACATGGTGCCTTATTCCAATAACGCTCTGCTTGTACACGCTGCACTGAAACCCTCTGAGTTTTTGGATGAAGCAGGAGCAATAATAATGGTTCCAAAACTCTTGCGATATCATGTCTCTGGAGGACTTGGTTCAGCCAGGCTTGTCCCACAGAACTAGTAGAACCATCTAGACTGTTAAGGCTATCTAACATGATGAACAGTGACCTATAATAAACAACAACAATTAAAACAAAGAACAAACCACCTGAAAAAACTGCAAGACTCAAATTTATCTAAAATGAACATCATTATAAGTTGCATTTCCTATTTTGAATGAACTATTTTAAAGTAACCATGCTTCAAGATAACTTTTGACCACAGCATTTTTATAATCTCAATCCCTACAGTCTCCATATATAAGAGAAAGGAAAAAACAAGTCCTTTTCCTTGAAATTTCACAAGTATGTATTACTTTTAAAATATAAATATTAAAGAAGAGAAAAACTTACTTAATAAGTCTTGTTTTACATCTTACTCCTGTTCACGTCAACATATACCAAACCCCTTGCAAGGCGACGCTGCTTTCCATGCTGGCCCAAACTATGTGCTTAATTCAAGGAAAGACCTTCTCTGAAAGGTATGAGTATGTGGTTTGGAATAAAAAACCTCAAGATTCAAATCTGGGCTGTTCCATTTTACCTCTGGTGTAGTCTTGAGCAAGCCATTTAACTTCTCTGGGCCTCTGTATCACCTCACTTGTAAAATGAGGAAGGATGGCGAGGAAGGAAGGATGGTTGTCAAGGTTAGAGATGGTATTTCTAAAGTACCTAGCCCAGGTCCTACTATACTGTAAGGGGTCCAATACATGGTTCAATACTGGATAATTTTAAAAAATGGTAATGCTGCTTGAAAAGCACTAGTTGAAATAATGTCCAATACAGCACAAGCTGATCCTGTCCTGGGTTTTAAGCATAGTTAGGTTTGTGGTCAACTCTGTGAGACCTGTGGTGAGACTGCTAACTTACACAACACAGATAGAGGGCAGCTTCTTGGAACTAAATGCAAATCTGTTATTTGGGGTATGAGTCACAGGGTAGTCTGGAGAAACAGCAAAATCACTCTTAGGCAACTACAGTTTCTTTGAACCCATGGAAAGAGTTTGTCAGTTCAGCTGAAGATTTAGTAAGTTTGGTTTAGGCACAAGATTGAGAATAATTGCTAGAGAAACACTTTATACAATCTACTGTGTATCTGCAGTTTCACTGAATAGGAACAGAGACTCAGGAAGGCTGCATCCATTGCTGGCACCTAGAATGGTGCCTGGCACATAGTAGCAACTCGATGAGTAGCTGGCCCATGAAAGGAAGGGCCTTGGGTTAATAAATAATAAATTCTCTTAACAAATAAAGAGAATTACTCTATTTTTAACCAAATATGCACACCTTCTACATTTGTTTGCCAACCATGCTAGCCTCCCACCCAAGGTATTACTGTAAGTGCACTATGCTAATTTCTTTTTACAGCAACAAGTAAAAAAAAATTGAAAGAGTCCCACTTATGAAAATACTACGGGGTGGGGGGAGGGTGCAGCTGGCAAATGTAGAAGGTGCGTGTTACTTACATAAAAATATGGTAATAAACTCTCCGTAAAATTTGTAAATTGGCATCTCCTACCCCTACCAAACTAGCCAGAGGATTTAAGTACAAGAAGCAAACATTAAGATATCTGACTGAAAATTTGAATATAAAATGTAAACTGAACACAGTAACTAACCTGTCAAAGGAACGTGCAAAAGATGAAGATTTATTTATATGGAGGTCCCTTGTTAGATGCCAAAGAACTGCAAACTTTGCATGCGCTTCCATTCTTATTTTCTGAGGAGGAATATGGGAGATTAAATTATTTCATTTTTCCTTGAAAATATTAAGCAATTTTAGCAAAATCAAAGTAACTATTTACAAGAGAGCCTTATGCTCACAGTACTCAAATACAGACTGCAATCGATTTTAATTATGTTTTTATGGAAGTAGAAATATAGATAATATTTAAATATATACAGAAGTATTAAATCTAAAGGATCATTTTACGCTGTCAGATAAATTATTTAGTTTAGACTTTAGGGAATCAGTTTACTGTTGCTGCTGTTGTCAGGTGCCGTTGAGTCGATTTCGACTCATAGTGACCCCATGTGACAAAGTAGAAATGCCCCATAGGGTTTCTGAGGCTGTACTCTTTACAGAAGCAGATCACCACATCTTTCCACTTCAGAGCCTCTGGGTAGGTCTGAACCACCAACCTTTCAGTTAGCAGCTGAGTGTTTAACCATACTTGATTATTCCATATGAGGGAACTGAAAGCAATAAAATACATGTCATGGTATCTTGAGTCTAGGAAGCACTTCATCCTTCATTTTAATGTAAATATTCAGTTGTCAAAATTTATTTTATCAGACAATATAATTTATTTTTATTCTCAGAAATTATATGGTAATCCCAAATGAATTTGTCATTACTTATAAAGCTGGTTTATTAGACTCAAAATTTAAATACTTCAAAATTACTTCTATAAGAAAAGTATTAAACCACTTTTGGGATTATTTGGAAAAGATTATGTATTTATATAACAATGACAACACAACGTAAAAATAAATTATTTAGAAAGACAAGAACTTGGTATTAGATAATGAACATGCATTAATATAAATCATAAAAATGCCAAATAAAAACTGTGACATTATTAGAATTTGTATAGTCTTCCTCTAGCAATTGTGAATCCTTCAAGTAAAAACTCCAACACATCAGAAAATGTATCTGTCTAAATTGCTCATGGAGTCCCTGGGTGGTGTAAATGGTTTACATGCTTGGCTGCTAACTGAAAGGCTGGAGGTTTCGAGTCTATCCAGAGGTACCTTGAAGAAAAGTCCTGGAGATCCACTTCCAAAAAATCAGCCACTGAAAACTTTATGGAACACAGTTCTACCCTGACTCACAGGGTGTTGCCATGAGTCAGAGTCAACTCCATAGCAGCTGTTTTTTTTTTTTTTTCCAAATTGCTTGTGATAGGTCAGTAGAGTGCCCGCTTTTTCCAGGAGCTTAATAAATGCTTTTTCTATGAAGCCTGTGTCTGTACATCAAGCAACCCAAATATATAAAATAAAGTTATAAAAGGTGTTTTAATTTTTTTCATGGGTGCATACTTTTATTCATAACTTAGAAGCATCTCTTCAAAATGAAATTTTACATAAGTAAAAACATGTACATAACATGTCCTAAATTTATACTTAATGTCAAACACATAAATTGCTGAATTAAAATGCAAGGTGTACAATATACTTTTATTTTGAAAGAATGTGTTGAAGTAGGAATAAAATTTCAATATTATCTTGAAATAAACTTTTCACTCCTCTCCTTACCACTCTTCTCCTAATCAAATGCTTAATTTACTCAATACAATGAATGTCTTTTGAATATGACCCATTCAAATTCACTAGCATTTAGATTTATTTTTTAATAGGCTAATCCACTTCTAAAAGCTGTTCAATAAAATTTTCAGTTTATAATACAGAGCAGGCATGGCAAGATCACAAACTTCATTAAATTACCTTGAAGAGGTCAATCAGAATGATTCTTCCAGCTTCTTCTCAGACCTGCTCCTACCTTTGCCAGTTTTATTCTGACTTATGTATAACTTCATATACATTAGGATACAAAACTCTTATTTTGGATATTTATTATAGGGTAAATAATATAATCTCACAAATTAACACTCTATAGCTTATAAAGGAGCCCTGGTGGCACAACAGCTAAGTGCTTGGCTGCTAGCTGAAAGCTTGGCGGTTCAAACCCACCCAAAAGCTATGCAGGAGAAAGACCTGGCAAGTGGGTCTTATAAAGATTATAGCCTAGAAAACGCTATGGGGCAATTCTACTTTGTTACATGGGGTTGCTGTGAGTCAAAATCAACTCGATGGCACCTAACAACAATAGCAACAGCTTATAAAAGTAATTTCACACACATTATTTCATTTCACATATATTAGCTAATACATTCCCCAGTTCCGTAACTGTGGCCACTGATTCCTCTTTAAATGATACAAGAATTTGGACCAGCAACAGCTTTAATCACTATTACCCATAATTGGTGTCCTAAAACAAGAAATAAACCCAGCATTTGATTTTGGGTCACTTAATTTTTCATGTTAAGAGCTTTGCTTCTAACCAAATGTCAGCAGTTCGAATCCACTAGCTCCTCCTTGGAAACCCAGCGGGGCAGCTCTACTCTGTCCTATAGGGCTGCTATGAGTTGGAATTGACTTGATGGCAATGAGTTTGTTTGTTTTTTAAACATTTTTCATATTACCGATGCTTCTATAAAGAACTATCCTTTATTTTGAAGAGATTATGATCAGTCTTTACTCTGAACTAAGCTATATTATCTCTCATTCAGATGCTAGCTGTAATAATTTTCCTAAACAGTTTTCTAAATTTACCTTTTGTTATAATAGGGCACAGGATAAGAAGAGAAGAATTTACCTTATCTTTATGGGTTAACTGCTGGCTTATAACATCCTCACAGATGCTAGAAGAAGGAACCAAGTTATGTAACTGATAAAACAGTTCCACACTCTTCTGGTGGTGCTGAGGTGTCCCATCTCCCAGTTGATCCCACAATGTTAAAGCTACATGCTAAAGAAAAAGATGTAGGCGACAGTTCCAACAAACATAAATGAAAACTAATTTAACAAACATTTCCTATTTGCTACAAACAATTCTCAGGCTGCCAGACCTGAAAGATCTCTAATATACACTATGCCACTGGGATAAGATTTAAAAATGCAGCCTTCCATCTGCCTGCTTTCTGCTTATCCTGGCCCTTCAGAACCTTTTATAAGTGTCATTTAATGATATTTGTTTTAAACATCAGACATGTAAGTGCTTTCTGCAAGGACCAGGTAAGATCTCATTTCTCTATTTTAGTTATGTTTAGTAAAGTGATGCTGGACTACACTATCCTTAATAGGATACAAATCCCACATTGAATGCAATTTAATGTTTACAGGTCTATGTTTCAGAGTGAAATATAATTCATAGTCCAAATAACCAAGATACTTATGACTTTTATAATAAAGCCATATGTATTTAGGAGCTACCCGTTAATAAAGCACTTGATGATCTATGACAGCATTAATAAAAATGAAATAATCTTCAGGGTTTACCATCACAAAATTATGGAAACCAACTGTAATCTAGCAGGAGGAAGTATCTGGAGGGGCACTATGACCTCAAATCAGATTAAAACAATTTTATGTATAAAAAACTATCTGTAATACAATATTTGTAATACAATCCAAATATACGTGATGTTCTTTCTATGTAGAGGATACTATCTGTACCACTGTGGTAGAAATCAAAGAATACATTTTTTCTGAATGACATCATATGCCACAGATGATAATCAGACAATCTAGATTGTCAGAAAAACTTCCTGGGAGTTTTGAATAGCTGAGGTTTACTCTATGAATAGGAAAAGTGTCACAACCACTTCATCTATATATAAGTTCCACTGTAATAAATGAGCTTTCTTCCTAACTTTAGGTGAAATTATTTCCTCCATGGCCTCAGTGCCCTAATACTTGCCTTCCTTTACCCTAATACTCCTCTGATCCTTACGTTTTTCTCCCTCACAAAACTGGAGACAAAATGGGCAAAGCAGTACACATCAAATGTGCCATCCTTTTTTATATGGAAATATGATACTAAGATGTGTTTAAGCTTGATTATCATGTTTAAAATCACTGTTAACCTAACTAGGTCTGTATCTTACATGCAGTGGTTATCTTAGTCATGTATGTGTTTTTAGTACTTACCTTGAAAAATTCTGTCTTCTCAGCTATGTATTTCAGATTGCCTTGAGTGAGGGGAGGTCTAATAACCACAGCTACTTTTCCCTGGTTTGGACTTAAGGGCTGTGCAGGCTCTACGCTATTGACATTTTCCCCAGTGACCATGGCCACAGACTGAGTCAATCCCACAAGGTCCATGACTAGTGAAACAGCGACACTCTGAACACTGAAATCACTCGCTTGGCTGCAAGCACTCATCAGAGTCTGGAGCCAGAGTGGAGGCTGCACCTGTTCACAGTCTGAAACAAAAGAAAAAAGCAGAGTTCATCACACTAAACACTTCACACATACTCTAAGTTAATTTAAGAAAACAAAGCAACTCTACTTACCTTTAGGCCTTGATTTGTTTAAAACAAAACAAAACAAACAAACAAAAAAAACACCATAGTTTCTCACCTAATCTATAGCTTTAAGAAAATAAATCAGCAACAAGAATTTCCTAAACTTTTTTTGGTAGTATGTATTTTTCTTATCCCAAGTCATACAATCTTTTTTTCCTATCCTGGAAAACAGTATACTAATCAACAAATATTATGTGGTACTCACTGCTCTGCTGGGTGAAGGCAATCACTTAGTCCATCTACTCAACAGATATTTCTTGAACAACTACAATACCCACGGCACAATGCCAGGGCTGGGAAAGGGGGATGCGAAGTGAATAAAATATAACCCTATCCTGAAGGCCTCAACCTAATAGAGAAGTGATGTCATGTCTGCAAAAAGTAACACTCAATGAGTTAGAGTATATAGACACCATAAGAGAAGTGCAATGGTATGCTACAATTCAGAAAAAGAGAGGTAACTTCAGTGAAGGAAAAGGTCAGAGGAGAGTTTAGGAAACAGTTGTCCTTTGACATGCTAGCTAAGTTAAGGGCAGAGGAGGAAGTCAAAGAAGAGGAGAGCATTCGACATGAATAAAAAATGGTGTGAGAGGAGAATGGAAGTGGGATAGCATAGGGAGTGTTTGTCAAACTTTTTAACTGCAAATCACACAAACAATATGTAGTACTTTCACGGGGCCCCAACACACACATAAGTGAACGTGAGACAAAAGTTTCAAAAAACAATACTTAGACATTTGCATTCTGATATTTTCCCTTCTGCTAAGCTAATTCCATACTCACAGATTGGTCATGATTCAGTTTCAGAAACACTGCTATAGGGCATGCTATGGGAATTACAAAAAATTCTAATTAGGTACGTGAAACAGAGTAGTGAAAACTTAAGGCTGGGATACACTTAATCCGCAGAGCGACGACCAGAAGACAAATGAGAATGCTGACTTGCAAAGCAGCACTGTTCACAACAACTTTCTGTGATGAAGGTACTACTGAGCATTTGAAATGTGGTATGTGTGACTGAGGCACTGAATTTTTAATTTTATCTAATTTTAATTACTCTAAGTTTAAACAGCCACATAGGCCTATTTGTGGCTATCATACTAGACCACGCAGAGAGGTCAGAGCTTATTGCCTCACAGTTGAATCTGCATATGAAGTAGTAATAAAATTACACATTACATTTTGGGCATTGTTTCTTCCTTGAAAAAAAGAATTACACTTTTTTTAAAAGGTTGTACAATTACTGTGAACTATTATGCAATGGGATTTTAAGTATTTCACGGAACATAACTGACTACTAATATTTACATTTTATTCTTATTTTATTGTCACTAATAACTGAATAAAATATATGACATTTTACATTAAGATAACAATAACCTTAATAAACCAAAAATTCAGTAATGCACCATATTATTAAAAGCACTATGGAAACTTATGATAAAAGTCAACAATAAGACAGTAGAAAACAACTCCTAAAATGTGTTTATCACAGCATAAGTACAGCCAAAGAAAGCTATTTTTTTTTTTTTTGTTTTAACAAAACCAAAATTTCAAATTTGGAATATTGGAAAAAATTCTCTAGCTGACATGAATATTAACACAATAGCATTCCTGTCATTCAGTTAAAATCTTTTGTAAATGCAATTTTAAAAAGAAAATTATAAACTAAAGGAACTTGAAAATTTCCAATGATCCATCCAATATATTCAATGGAAAGGGGGCACTGACTTTTACTTGCATATTCAGAAATCAACATTCTTTTGTATTTTTATATATGTAAATACACAACTGTATGTGTTGTACAAAATCATTTGACTTCCTTATTTTGTTTCTATACTTATTGTCTTCATCAAAACAATTATGTTGCAGATTATTTAAATATATTCAACTGTATTCTTTTTGCTTTAAAATCCAGATATCAGCAGCAAGTTTCCTAAACAACCTTGACCTTTTTAAAGCACATATCATCATTTACATGAATACATCTATGTGATAATCTATTAAATGGTAGAATTTTTCTGATATTTTAACTACAACATAAGGATACCAAGGAAGATTTATCCATATTAGCAGTTGAGACACCAACTTTATTTTGAACATTTTGGCAAGGGGGGGGTGTATTTATTTTCTTGATTTATTACTTTTAAGCTTGGACATATTACACTGGGCAAATCTGCTGCGAAGGACTTCTTTAAAGTGTTAAAAAGCAAAAATGTTATTTGAGGACTAAGGTGCACCTGACCCAAGCCATGGTATTTTCAATCACCTCACATGCATTGTGAAAGCTGAACAATGAATAAGAAAGACCAAAGAAAAATTGATGCCTTTGAGTTATGGTGCTGGTGAAGAATACTGAATATACCATGTACTGCCAGAAGAATGAACAGATCTGTCTTGGAAGAAACACAGTCAGAATACTCCTTGGAGGTGAGGATGGCAAGACTTCGTCTCACGTACTCTGGACATATTATCAGGAGGGACCGGTCCCTGGAGAAGGACATCATGCTTGGTAAAGTAGAGGGACAGGGAAGAAAAGGAAGACCCTCAATGAGATGGACTGACACAGTGGTTTCAACAATGGACTCAAACATAGCAATGACTGTGAAGATGGCACGGGAGCAGGCAGTGTTTAGTTCTGTTGTACACAGGGTCGCTATGAGTTGGAATTGACTCAACGGCACTAACAACAACAAGAAATTTGGTAGAAATTGATAACAATTTTCCAAAACAGTAACTTTAAGGCTTTTTGGATCTCTATTGGACTCAGATACTTGCCTGTCTCCAGCTTAAGAGGGACGATTCTTGCTCCCAAGTCCAGATAGATACTGGAGGGGGAGAAGATAGGGAAAGAGAAGGACCTTCTACAGCTAAGCAGCCAGGAGCTGCAGTGCCACAGTTTACCAACTCTATTCTTTCTCATTTGCCTTTACCTTAATCTCGTCCATACCACTGCTAATGGCTTAGTACATATCTTTTCCAGCTCTCTAATCTTTGTATTTGTTAATAGCAAATATTATGTTTTACGTTTTTTACTTGACCTAACAAGCATTTCCCCTAATCCTACTACATGCCTTTTATTTTTGATTATGTTTCTTTGGACATACAAAAGATTTTTGTGGTTAAATCACCGATGTTAGCAAAAACTCCTTAAAGAGTCTACATTTCACTAAACAAGCCTGATTATTTTGTGCTCTATTGCTAATGTTAGAAGTTTTATTGGCCACTGCCACCCTGTTTTTTTAATCATATGAAATGATGTGTGATATAAAAAATTTAAATAAAGACAGACATATATGATACTAGCCATACTAAAGGAAACCAGTAAATCGAAATGTTATATTACTTTCCTCCAGAGAAAGGAGTTAATTTCTTTCTTAGCTTCTGCTCGCTTGCAAGCCAACTGTTAAAGACATCAAAATCACAAAATCTTCCAACATATCATAATGGTAGTCTTTCTTTAAAAAAAAAAAAATTCTCCAAATTAAAATACACTTTTTAAAATTCACTCACTAAAGAAAAAAGTTTTCATATCCCAGTTTTAATATCCATGTGCTTCTTTTTTAAAAAATGAATGGTATGCTACAGAAAGTATTTAAATATAAACAGAACAGAAAAGACCTTACCAGTCTCTGATTTTTCAGAATGCAACTCTGATGTATGGTTCCCCTCAGCAATGTAAACTGGGAAACTTGAGCACTCTAGGAAGAGCTGACAGGCAGCAAGGAAGGCAGAAAGGTATTCTTTTGAACTTTTTTGTTTACTGATGTTTCTCTCTTTCACATCTCCATGTGAATCTCTGTCCCATTTTGATGTCTCTCCTTGCTCTCTGCTGAGATCCTTTTGTTGTTCTGTAGCCAAAACCTGAGACAAAGAGTTACTCTGAATGATATAGAGGTTGATCAGTCTGGTTAGAAACTGTTGGACATACTCCAAGCAGCACTGCATTGCAGTCTTTTGGGCTGTCTTTCCACTTCGGGTTGCTGTCCCCTGAGTAACTATGGAAGAGGCCTGGACGATGGTTTCTTCAGATCCCACAGTGGATGCTGTTTCTGTCTCGGAAGATGTGCTACCAACTGGGATGGCAGCTGTGCCCTGCCCCTCACTCAGTTCTCTGTCAATGTCATCAGTTCGGTCTGCTTGATACTGTATAAACTCAGTGAATCCACTCTCTGATGATCGACTACTTGGTGGATTTTCTCCATCTTCAAACACTTCAGTAGGATTTTCAAGAGAAACTGATGACACCTGGTAGAGATTAAAAAAGCAAACAGCTGAGTAGCTAAAATTATAAAATTAGAAATGGCTGCCTTTTAAGAGAAATCAGTTTTAGATTAGACTAATCACAACTTAATCTGCATATACTGTCGAATCTCTAAAACAGTTTCTACACTGACGTATACGTTTATAATAATCAATAAGAAACACTGATAGGGTTCTAATGAATATATTACTACCAATTCACCAAGCATTTATTATTCATCACATGCATTGCATAAGGTTAGGTTTTGGAGGGCAAAAATACTTATATTTACAAATCTCTAGGATCTATATCCTTGTTTTCAAACAACTAACAATTTATTCAATTCACTTCATGAAATAATTTTCCTAATGTCTAAACAATGCAAGGAATGAGACTTGTAAGGTTAAAATGAAATTTTAAAAACTAAGGTAAAATCTAATAGGTCATCTGTTCATGACCACATTAATGTGAAATTTTTATCTGAAAAGTATAAAGTACTAAATGTTGCTATTAATCTAACATCCTTTCGATGAACTGTTACTGAATTCATATTCTATGCCAGACACTGTGTTTTAGGTACTAGGAATAAAAGGAATAGTTTATAATCTAGATGGGAAGAGATACTAAAATATTAAAAAACCAACCAGCTACTGGGGTAAAGCTGGAATGGACTAACAATTCCCTCCCTATAATAATGATAGGATGAGTAAAGTTATTAAGTATATTTTCTGGCTCAGTTTAAGTAAACAAAAGTTGTACGTATCATGACTTCCTTGGGTTACTGTGCTAGAGCCTAATTTTCTTATGAGACTTGTAAGGTTAAAATGAAATTTTAAAAACTAGAGGTAAAATCTAATAGGTCATCTGTTAAGGACCACATTAATGTGAAATTTTTATCTGCAAAGTACTAACTGTTTGTTATTAATCTAACATTGAATGTTTCACTAAGAAGTAATCTTATTAATATATGAACTAAATGATCTGCTGCCCCAAAGCCTGGCCTCAGACAGTGTTCCTTGCTTCCGTGAATGACACTACCATTCATTAAGTCAGGAAGACAGAAACCTAGGATTCATTCTTTGTACCTTTTCTCTCTCTCCTCTCCTTCCCTCTCCCCCTACACATCCACTTCAGTATAGTGGTTAAGAGTGAGGGCTCTGCCACTTACTAGCTGTGTGATACTTTGCAAGTTATTTAACCTCTCCAAACCAGTTTCCTAATCTGTAAAACTGAGATGACAATAATACCTACACCTCACAGTTGCTATGAAGATTAAGTAACAGTATATATAAAGTACCTGGCACTTAATAAACACTCAGTAAATGTTAGTGATCACTCATTACCCTTACCAATTCATTCCTAAGTCCTACTGATCTTTCCTCACTAATCCATCCATTTCTCTCTGTCCTCACCCTTTCCCCCATCTTGTTGGCATCAGTTATCACCTCTCACCTGCACTACTGCAAGTCTCCCCATATCCATTTTTTGATTCTCAGTTCCATACTCCACACTGCGGCCAGAGTAATTTTTCTAATATACAAATATGATTATGTCACTTGATTTTTCCCTTCTGTGTCTTCCCATTGATCCTAAGATAAAGAATAAAAGCCTTAGTATAGTGAGCAAGGCTCTGTCTTGCCTCTGCCTACCTAACCAGCTGCATCTCCTCTTCACTGTCTGCACAGTGCTCTTTCCTGCCTAAGAGCCTTTGCAAATGTTCCTCTCTCTGCCAAGTGCTCTTTTTTTCCTACCCTCACCCTACCTCATCCCACCAATTCCCCTAGGGCTCCACTCATACATTCCTTCCTCAAGAAGGCCTCCCTTGACCTTCAGTCTAGGTCAGGTCACCTACTTTCCATACTCCTATCACTCTATTTTTCTTTGTACATTTATTACAACTATAATTAAACATGCAATTAGTTGTTTAATATATATCTCTGCAACTTAAATGAAATAGTTGAGAAGGGCAGGGACTGTGTCTAGTTCACCACTGGATATCCAGTGCCTTGTACAGAGTGGGATGGAGCCCTGGTGGCACAGTGCTTAAAAGTACAGCAGTTCGAATCCACCAGGCGCCCCTTGGAAACCCTATGGGGCAATTCTACTCTGTCCTACAGCGTCACTATGAGTCAGAATCGACTCGATGGCAATGGGTTTGGTTTTGGGTTTGCGCACAGAGTGAGTACTGAATGAAGAGAAGTTGTTTTCTCTATTTTAAAGGTAAGAAAAATGAGCCTCAGGGAAGTTAAAAAAAAAAAAACTTGTGCATGGTTATAGCAGGCAAGCTTAGTAGTAACAGCTCAGATGAGGCGATTCTAAACTTCATGCTCCTTTTCATCATAGCATATTGCTATATCTACAACAGTATGAGAAATTTTTGTATTATAATGCAAAGTTTAGAGATGGCTATCATCAGAATTAAACTTAATCATGAAGTTTTCTCCTTCGAAAGTTTAATGACCATTTAAATCTTGTGCAATTAAATACATTAAAAAAAATCTTATCCAAATAGTAACACTGTCATTAACTTATAAAGTGATTTCTGTATTAATATATTTAACATAAGGATCATAAAACAATGGATAATACTACATTAATAGAAACTATAAATTCAGTTGAACGTCTATATATTTATAAAATTTAGTTGCAAGATTTACATTATATAACTATGCTTCAGATTATTTTATTTTAAAAATGTCTTTCTGATAACAGAAATTACATGCATTAGGCATGTGGGTGTAGAGATCTAATACACTAATTTTATAAAAACACACTAAGTGCATCGAGTCAAAATAAGATTTATATTTTTCAAAGACTGATTCTTTCACTTATATGTTCAAAAATAGGGATACTGAAAACACCTTCACCTTATAAATATAATCAATTTTCAGACATCTCAGAGAAGATAATAGCATTGTATTTCAGTAAAGGACAGAATATATATATCCTGAGAGCATATAAGAAAACCAAAGAGAGTGAGAAAAGCATACTGAGGTTAATTAACTCTAAGGTTGATGAAACCATTATATTAAAAAAAAAAAAAAAAAAAGTATATTGTCTAATTGTCCTTCATTTAACATGAATGGATGTTCCCATTCACCTTACCTTAACCCTCAAAAAGGGCCTCCAGATGTTTTCTACAGAATATTTACATATTTTAATATACTATTGAGAGAATAAGGTCCTTCCCCTATTCCCATTTATCTCATTCAAATAAAAACCAAAGCTTCCACAGCAGCTAAAACCCATTTTAGTTTTATTTCTAAGAAGACCTTAGAGGCATAAATTAGTAGAAAACAGCATAACAAACCTAACTGCCAAACAACAGGAGAGAACAATATGTATTTCATAAAAATAATGAGCAGAATAGAAGGAAAATAACAGAGACCGATTTTAGTGTATGTAGGATAATCCTGAGATATATTTAGATTGACTGAGGGTCAGTAATGTCCACTTTATATACGAAGGATGAAGAAAAAATTTTGAGATTAATACCTGAGGGAAAAGGTTGTATGAGAGCATCCTGATACTATGTTTGTCTGTATGAAAAATAAAGGCAACTAAAAAAAGAGGGCAACTATTCAATCCTGGGACTTACATAACTGAACCTGATACTCTAGAAATTTAAAAATTGTTAACATTGTGGAACTGCACCTAAATTCAATGTAATTATCATATAATTCCATTGAGCCTATTTACTAAAATATTTTAATATTACAAACCTGAAAACTTTTAAATTCTTGATTTTTACATAGGTGTTTCACAGTTGTTTAAGTCTGCTACTAGAACTAGATATTAAAATTCTTATTATAGCTTTAATTTATTCAACATTATAAAGAAAGCATTAGGTATCCTCATGACTGTGGAGGACAAAAAGATTCTGGATTTCAGGAAAAGCATGTCAAAATTTTAGTGTATACAAAAAGGACAGTAAACTTTAGACATAGACCTGCTGTCCATCAGCCATATCTGGCTACTGAGCACTTGAAATGTGGCTTAATTTTAAATTTTATTCAACATTAATTAATTAAAATTTTAATTGAAAAATTAAAACTCAATTTAGTTATCAGTATGCTTAGAACAACTTAGGTCTGTGAATTTACTTTTTTGACTGTAAATTTTATGAAATTAAGTATTTATGATAAAAATTCAGCGTATGAATGGAAATGTGCTAAAAGTGTAAAATACACACGGGGTTTTGAAGACAGTACAAAAAATGTAAAATAGCTCACTAATTTTTTTATACTGATTACATGTTGAAACAATAATATATTAGAAATACTGTATTAAATAAAATATAGTAAAATTAATGTCACTTGTTTTTTTTTTACTTTTGTTTAACATGACTACTTAAGACATTAAAATGACATATGGTGCTTGTATTATATTTCTATTGGAAAGTTCTGATAACACAGTTAAACTGCTTTACAGTCCAAAGCCTAAAGTACAGTCTACTGCCACAATACTTGGGCCTAAGAAAGATTTTCACTAATTTGTAAATACTTATATCTAAGTGACTTTACCCTGAATCTATCGTGCTCTGAAGAAATATAACTAGCCTGATACAAAAACAATAGGTAACATTACCTTTTTGTCTTCCCATTCTTTGACTGAATTGTTCTGCACCTTTGGGAACTGCAGCACACCCCCAGCACCCGCAGATAATAGTGGAGGTTGAACCTTGCTAAGGATCTTTGAGCAGAGCCTGAGTGAATCTGTGAGTTCAGACAAGTGCAACGTCTGGAGATGGCTTGTCAGTGCAGAGATCATCCTGAGCAGCAACTGGGGCAAATGTTCTGTCTGGATTTCAATGTAAGTCTCCTGAAAATAAAAGTGAAATGAGAAAATTTTAAACAATGTGTAAGTAAACCTGTTCTATTATTCCAGTTATTTTTAAATCTGTAAATAAGGCAGTAATTGTAATCACTGCAATGTTTTATATGTGTCATGTTCTTAATTAATACTGTAGTTATTTTATTATTAATGACTTATAAAATTTCTATTCCCAATTTAAGTATTTCAAAGGATATATTATGAAATAACCCCAGTTTTATCTGTCACATTACTGAAAATTTAATATTACGAAAGTGAATAAAATCAGTTAAAAACAAAACAGGCTGAATGTCATACCTGACACAGCACCCTCATACTTCTAGTAGGCTTCAAAATGAGAAAGCACAGAATTGAGGAGAGAAAACATAAGGGAAAAAGATTTCTAACAGTCTTCATTTAACAGACAGAATCATTAATGATTATAAATGCAGCCATTAGATCACTATACACTAAACATTTAAGATTTTACAACATGCAATTATGATGTATAATCCATGTATTATATGACACTTGTATATATATTACATATATGTCAGAGGACAAAACCCTTGCAAAATTTCATGAAAAAAGCTACAACAAAAGGACAAAATAAATTTATTTCAAAGATGTAATTTTATTTGAAGATGATGTTTGTCTCCAATATGAAATATTTGAACTATGTTTTTAGATTCCCTCAATGTTTTCACCAAGATGGCCTTACCAAGGAAACTATATCCAACAAAAAATCCACCAGTAAGCAGAAATTGATCAGCTGTAACTCAGATGACTCACTACTATCTCCAGGCCCAATATGAAGTCTGACGTGCAGTGTCCTCCTAAAAGGACAAAATTCACTTTATCAAGTATACTATCAAGTGCTATAAATACATGTGACAACATCATTGTCTTTCTAACGAAAGCTAATTCAACACTGGTACACACACAATAATGTTTCTGTGATGAACATTCCACTTCCCCCTGGATGTTCTTCTATGTGGAAATTCCCAAAGCAAGATTCCTAGGCTTAACCTCACCCTGAAAGTCCCATCCTGCACTTCTAACAACCTACCAGGCATCTTCATCCATCTTCTGGATGCATCTCACTTTTTGGGGCTTATTTCCCATTTTTCCCACTACAGATGTCATGTCCTACTTGAAATGGATTGTCTGTTCTTTGATTTCCGATCTCAGGGCTTTTGCTCATACCAGTTTCTACTCCTGGACTGTCATCCTCCCCCTACTTCATTCTCTTGTATCCAGAGTGCATCTGTCCTTCAAAGTCTAGGATCAAATGTTACCTCCTCCAGGAAGCTTCTTCTGATCCAGGTAGTAGAGATCATTCCTCCAACATATTAATCCTATATGACCATACATTGCTCTACACTCTGAAGACACAGAGTAAGAACATGACATACTTCCTGGCCAGCAAGAAATATCAGCATATAGAGAAATAAATGTGACAATGTGGGAGGAGTTGATTCTGATGGGCGATTTGAGAGAGTCATAGAGGCTACTGAAAAGGCAGGTGACCTGGATATAAGTCCTTACCAGATGGGCAAGGGGGAAGAATATTTTAGAAAGAATAACATGAGTGAAGGCCCAGTAGCATGAAGGTTAATGTGTGTTCAGGGAAGAGTCCAGGTTATCTAAAGAAGAGTGTGTGTGTTTGAACACAGAAATGAAGGTAGAAACACAAGCTAGAGCAAAAGGATATTCATAATTCCTTCTGCATTCCTACCATATTTTAATCTCCCTATTAAAATATTTGTAATTTTAAATTTAGTACTAGGAATATATATGTACATGTATAAGTAACTGTTCCCACTGTACGGTCTCTGAAGACAAGAAGAGTCTATATGCCTAGCATAGTGCTTTGAAACTAGGTGCTCAATTCCTGCTGAATGAGTAAGCAAACAACTTCCCAAATCATTAAAAGGACTAATACCAAACTAATCATCAAGAGTTGTATTTTAAAATATTCATGAGATAGTACATGATCAATAAAGTGGGCTAATAGCTTACTTCTGACTACATGCACCCAAGGTCTGAGACATTAATCTGGCTCTGACAAGATTTGATCTAGAATCCAGGCAGAGATTCCACTCAAGTTCCCTAGTATCCTAAGGTTTTCAGATTATATTTTAGGTTTTAGGTTCTAAAGGGTGGAGGGCTTTTATCTACTCATCAGTGACAATATGGGCAATTTCTATGGCTTTAAAAGCACAAGCGTAATCAAGGTGTTTTTTCTTATTCAAAGTGGAAATCCTTTTGGGAAAATGTGAACAGCAGATACAAATTTGCTATCTTTCCACAACAAAGATAAAACTAAATCACTACAAACTAGAAAGGGAAAACCTTTCACCTGTGCTGGCGACTGAAAAATTCATCTCTAAACTCCTTTCCATTTCTAAGATTATTTGATCAATGATTCTATATCCTAGAGTGACAAAGTAGAATCAGATTATGGCTATTAAATAATTAACAGTTGTCAGTAGCAGTAGAATGTATAAAAAGATATTCTTTTCAGTAGACTTAAGAACATAAAAAAAAAGAAAAGAAAGGTAAGCTTTGGATGTTATTGAATCAGAAGGAATTAAACAGTTTAACATACCTACAACATTCTTCAAACCAACGTGCAACATAATCCCACATATAATAAGGCTCAAAGGAATTAAAGAGAAGGTTGGCAGTTTTAATCAGCTCTGCTGTTTTCTTGTTTTCCCTTAATTTACTAAAAAATGAAAAGAAAAACATTTACTTTATCAAACTTAAATTTAAATGCAATGTTATAGGACTATGTATATTCCTAGGTAGTTGCTAGACAATATTTTAAATAATATTACAACAAATAATACTTATCCACTGCTACTCTATTTCTTTATATATACAGTCATTTTTCCAAATCTGAGTTTCATAACTCAAATGTATGATCAAGATAAAAAGTTAGCCTTGCATAAGAAAAAACAGTTGTGTCCCTTGAAAAGATAAGGAAGTTTCTTTATTTGAGTGTGTGGCTATTAATTTGATATTACATTCTTAACTGGACTAAACCAAAGCTAAGAAGTTTCCTGAATAGAATCAAACACTTTGAGGGACAGAGTAGCAGGGGTTGTGGTCTGGGGACCATGCTTTCAGGGGACATCTAAGTCAATTGGCATAATAAAGCTTATTAAGAAAATGTTCTGCATCCTACTTTGGTGGGTGGCGTCTGGGGTCTTAAAAGCTTGCAAGCGGCCATCCAAGATGCATCAATTGGTCCCAACCACCTGGAATAAAGGAGAATGAAGAACGCCAAAGACGCAAGGAAAGTATTAGCCCAAGAGACAGAAAGGGCCACATAAACCAGAGACTTCATCAGCCTGAGACCAGAAGAACTAGATGGTGCCAGGCTACCACCGATGACCACTCTGACAGGGA